TGAATCTCTATTTCTTTATTTCCCTTTCTTCCTTATTCTCTGTTAATAATTCACTCTCTCCCTCTCCAATAAGAGTTTTACACAGCAATAGTGATTTTGCATTTCTTGCAAGCACATGCATAGAAGAAATGACAATCCAATCACCCTTAAAACTTTGACTACTGTTGGAGTATGGAATGGTGACATGTTCTATCTCGCTGCACCTATCCCTATCTCACCAAAATTTCGCTGTCCCCCCTAAATAAGGGTGTCAACAATTTTGGATTTGTTGTAGGCACATGAGCAGGAAGAAAGACAATCCAACTATTTGCAAAACTTTGACTACTGTTGGAGTGTGGAATGGTAACATTCTCTTTGGTTTAAAACTTTAGCAATTCACGCATTGCGCCTCTTCCCTTTCCCCTTTCCATCATTCTCCCCTAACGAAGATTCCCCATTACTCGCAGGCATGCTAGCAAAAGAACTGACTAACCAACCATCTGTAAAGCTGTTGTCAATGTAATATCTTCCCATATTTCTCTCTCCCCTTCCTCCTCCACCTCCCCCCTCCTTACCTCAGGAGATAGTGAAGGTCTAAACTGCTTGTGGTGCTCAATAATGATCCTCAGACACACCAACACATTCTCCTCGTTTTCAATCTGCATTACATCATTGTAAATTACGTCATCGTGTCATCATCGCTCGATGCACAGTAATACAGTAAACTTACCTCCAGCAGGAAAAACATTGTCGACAGAATCGCCTAATGAGAAGAAATACGACATCATAAAACTCTATGTTCATATGTACAATGTACATAAAGGTATGTTGCTTTCTGCTTTAAAGATCAGGCAAAGGGTCATGATTATTATTCATAGTAAAAAAGGTGTTTGATTAATTGGTGAAAAAAGTAAAACTCTGCAGGTAACACAAGAATTACTATGACAAGAGGCACACCTTGACGTGACCCTTGAGATGGTCATTGGTAGGTAGACGATGGATCAGCTCCAGAGCCAGTTTCCTCAGTTGTTGGCCACAGCTGTCTGCTATAAACTGTGGCTCTCCTGCAGTGAGGGAGGGAGGGAGGGGGCTGAAGTAGATCTCTAATACCAGAGCCCTACCTTCTCTGAGGAGCTGTAGGAAGATGGGGATGGCAGTTTCCAGAAAGTTTGGGTAGTGTTGAGAGCTGACTATGGTCTGTGAACAACAGAGCGAGAAAGAGAGTGCTGGTGTGCACTAAATGGAAGTCCCGGGCCCTACCTCCAGATTTTCACTGACTTCCTGGGCAGCCTTCAGTTTAGTGTCCTCACCTAAAGACGAAGGAACGGCTCATGAGGCCAATAAAGGTTCATAAAAGCTTTTCGTTCCACACGCAAGCTAGCGCAAAGGCTTTATATTCATGGATGCATGTTCACGAGACTTATGTACCGCTCTTTCGACAGAACGCACCTGTAGCCTGGTCTACCAGGCAGGCGAGGTGGCTGCGCAGTTTGGACATGCCTGCCACCTTTCTCTAAACTCGCCAGAAGATTCACAACTTGAATTCGAACGCCCAGACAACAGCTTCTTCGCACCTTCGAGCGCGCGCTAAGTCAGCAATCGCGCATGCGCATAAAATTGATGGTTGAACACAAACCAGTGACATGACTACAAAGACACAGTGATAAAAATGTGAAGTTTTTTTAATGACGTTTCTTTAGCTATCCCACGATTTCTCCCTTTGTTGAAGATAGTTGTTGGTTTTCTGCTAGTCTTCTCAGTGGGCAGTCAGTCAACTGTGAGTGGTGGGAGGTATATAGAAAGAGAGAAAGATGGAGTAAGGAAAATTAAAACACCTTTACAAGTATCCATATTAGACAGGTATCCTTATTTCAGGGGTTGATTCGCATGCAACAAGTGTTCCTGAAAAGGTGTGTTTAGTAGTTAGGTGTCCTTGGAGAAGGGTTCGTACATAATGAAAGGAGAAGGGAATAATATATATTATAAGACTAACTTGGTGGACCTCCATATCATCCATGAATTCAAACCCAAGACCACACCCACACGATAACTGTGGCTTTGACACCCGAGACTCCAGGTCCTGCGTGTTCACAGCTCAGTGATGTAATAATGACGCAATCAATAATTAATACCCACCCACCTGTTTCTGGAGAGGTTTGCTCCAGTCTAGATCCCTAGTGTCAACTGAGTGGAAGGCTTCAAGATGAATCGCCATCTCTAACTGGGATACCTCCTGTACAATCAATATACAGTGTGGTGGATAGTACATATCATCATGATTGAGAGGTCAAATTGTTGAAGTGTCAGTTACGTATACAGGTGACTAAATTATGTGTATATGTGAGGGGGCATGGGAAAAGGGACCTATGTATGTATATGGCTGGAATGTGAAAATTAAGTTTTTGTGGTTTTTCACCTTCAAAAACTTAATTTTCACATTCCAGCCATATAGGTCCCTTTTCCCATGCCCCCTCACATATTATAGTATATCTACATGGAAGAGTAAATAGTTTCATTTCAGATCCATTTATGTACTGTGTATGTAGTAGTAGACAGAGAATGCTATATAGGCATCTCTATACGCCTATTCATTCACAAAGTTTGGGAAAGTTTTCCTTTTTGAAAATGACGGCTAAAAGCTAGCTGTTTCACTAACAAGACCTTTCGGTACAATTTCTGACTAACCTCTTGGCAAAGACAGCAGGAGATTCTCTTTCTGCCACACAAACTCTCGTGGTTCATCAGTTGATCCATGGGGAATGACTGGAGGTGTAGGGGGGAGAGAGTGAGGTGATCTATAGCAGTAAGTTTAGGGGCAAACCCACCAGATTGCACCACTTAAACTGACACGGTACCATCCTCTTAGAGCAGTCTGTCTTTTGATGATGGTGGAGTGGACCCTGACAGGAAGACGGAGATGGAGATAGGACATAGATAAACAGTTAGCGTGTGTGTGTGTGTGTGTGTGCGAGAGCTCACCTGTGTGTACTCCAGTCCACAGGCACACACCAGCAGGTCGTGGGCAATGTACTTGTGCTTATTTTCGGCCACTTTTGGAAGGGCAGCTCTGGAAGAACAGTTACACCAACAAATGACGTTTATTTCCCTCAATTCCTTCCTTCTCTCTCACTCGCTCTATCCTTTCCCTGCCCTTTCCCTGCCCTCTATCCCCAGGCTCCTCCCAAAGCCAAGTAAACCCTGATACTGTGTATATTGTACACTTAGACCTTTGACATCACTGATCACAATGCCGCCCCAACTTACTCAGGGAACGTGCTTGGTCAGAGGCAGGGAGCGCACTGTATGTAGTAAATCAATGGTATAGATGTCTATGTGAAAGCCACATGTGTCAGTAACCGGGCTATTTCTGCAGACTCCACACCTCCTCCCCTCTCTCATCTTCCACTCCTTCACAAACGCTCACCTGCAGTGTGGGCATATGAAGGTGCTGATGGCACAGTGTCTCTGGTGCATCACAAGTCTCAGTGATGGCATGACACTGCCACATGTGGGGCAGCGTTCGTGACCAGCTGGAACAGACGGACCACCGTCCGCCTCCTCCGATGACGATAACAATGATGATAGAGACTCTGGTTTGGTGGAGGTGGGTGTGGTCTTTGGTAAGTGGGGAGCGTCCCTTAACTTCTGACCACCAGGAGACTTTCCAACACCTAACAACAGATCAAAGTGGACCAAGTGAAGTACCTTGGGTTACGAAATGATTGTCATTACGTTAACACGATCTATACACGACACACACCGTGTGATGAAGTGTAAGCCATGCTTGCATCAATTTGCATCAATTATTTACATTCTATTGAACAGTCGCCCAATACAAACCCACCATACGTTGGACATACTTACAAATATCAATTTTTTAACACCCATAGAAACATTTGGCACAAGGTTTGAAATAATTCCAGGGAAGTGTTGGTATACCTGCAGGTGTTGTGGCCAGAGGGTTGTCTCTGAATGAGATTGAGAACTCTGCATCTTCACAGAGACTCACCACCCCTGCATACAGTGGCTGAGAGAGAGAGAGAGGGAGAGAGAGAGAGAGGGGGGAGGAATGCGTAATGAGTTAGGCCAGCTGATACAAATAGAATGCTGCATCCACGCTCAAATCGATCCATCAAAGGGGGAAGTAAACCAATTAATGGGGAAATGTCCTTTTTAGCACACACACACACAGCAGTCGTGCATCACTTCAAAAAAGTGTGAAGATTTCAGAGAATTTCTTTCCCCTCACCTTCTCGACATCATAGTCTTCATCGTCGGTGGAGCAGAGGTGAATGGAGCTGTCCCCGACTTCCTGACTACACCAAGTGTACCTGGAGATCATGTGATAGTCATGTGACACAGACTAGAGGATTACATGATCGAGAGTTATGTGAAATGGTCCCTGGAGGAGGATTGTTTGAGCCAGTGTGACATAGAGTAGAGGATCATATTAGTCATGTGACACGGTGTGGGGGATCACATGACTCTTGTAACACAGTGTAGGTGATCACATGAGAGTCATGTGACCTGCTCTGGGAGGGAGCTGTGCAGGTCTGGCAGAGGAAGAGGTCGGGATCTCCTGTCTTCATCTTCACCTCCACACTCACTCTCTCGGGGAGGGGCCTTCCCGGTAGAGAGAGCTGGACGACCACAGAGAGATGAGAACATTAGACACAATACACTACAATACTTAGTAAACACGTTTTCACCAAGTGGGAGCGTACTAATTTCACTTGCAATGCTGCAGTGCAAGGACTGTTTGGCCTCCAAACAGTGTAAGTAATATGGACTTGCTGCCTAATACCATTTTTAAATTCGTGTTACTTGTATCTCACTCACCAGAACAAAGTGTCTATAGGAGCCGGAGGTGACGGAGCAAGTCAACGTCTCATCTAGACCAATGTGCTCTGCCTGGCCCTCCACTACCGAGTGCTGTAGGAGGCACATGATAGCCACATGACAATCAGGTGACGTCACATGATCCCAAAATAACCTACAAATCTGCTGAGGTCAGCAGGCTCAGTGATGTCGGTGGTAATGTCAGCATTCAGAATGGATATGCCTGCAGCACGCCACGAAAAACAGATTGTGGTTAACAACTATCTAGAGGGCATGAAACATAAATTTTGGAAAACAAGAGATTGTCAGACCACTAAACCTAAAGAGGGAGAACACTTTGGCGATTCTGTATATATGCAACAAGAATTTTATGGCGAAAAATCTCTTGTTCTACAGTAAAAACGGTCCAAACCCACCAAGGCATAGCGGAGAAAAAGGTTTCACGAGCAATAAAATTCGCCAAAGTTCTCTCCCTCAAGCGTTTCCCCTACCTTTTGCTGGTTTACACTGCAGGACCTTGAGAGTGTATCTGTTCAGTTCGTAGGTGAGCGTGACCTTTGTACCCTCCGTGAGTGTCTGAAAATTCCTCAGTTGAAATTCCATCATTGCCATCCTCTTATCGTAGGGAATACCCTGCCAATTACGGAACGTAATGACATACAGGAGGGAATGCCACACAAATAATGGTTGTTACTTCATAATATAAGAATCACGAAATATGCTAAGTCTATGGTATCCCCTTACCAAGTATGGTAAATTTACCATGCAAAGGTTTGTAACAAGATGCAGAATATAGGGGGAAAGCGAAGAACAAAGAAGAAAGAGAGTAGGTAGGCAGTATTATACCAGCCAGGCAGAGGAGACAGGCTGTAGTCTGACAAACGTCCCTTTGGGCAGATCCACGTGGGAGAAACTGACAGTATCACCTGCACACATACAACACACAGAACGTAACACAACTGTGTCTTCATTTCAGGAGTGTCCCAAGAGAAGGGCTCCACTGTTACCGTTGCACGCCTGGAGATGCTCCATCATCCATGAGGGGAGGTGGGCGGAGTCACTGGAGGGTGCTGTGAACTGCAGCACTCCGCAGTACACTACCTGGCCTGAGGTAGGGTGGGCCAGCTTGAATGCCTGAGAGAGAGAGAGAGAGAGAGAGAGAGGGGAGGGACAGCGAAATAGAGAGAAGAGAGAGAGAGGAGAGAGATAGAGAGATAAGAGAGAGAGAGAGAGAGAGATCAGAGAGAGAGAGAGAGAAGAGAGAGAGAGAAGAGAGAGAGAGAAGAGAGAGAGAGGTCTTTTTAGCTGTCGTTTTCAAAGAGGAAAACTTTCCCAAACTTTGTGAATGAATAGGCTTTTCTTCTGGTATCTGCTACCTAAAATCACTGAAGTTCTCTCTATTATAAACAGTGTCAATATGTGCAACCTAGGCGGAAGGTGGACTGGCTAACCACGGGATAGGAGAGGTGCTGCTGTTCACAGGCAACCAGGACCTCTGAAGACAATATGATCTTGTCGCCTGAGCTGATGTGGGTGTGGTCTGCATGGTAAACTTTGACCTCCTTTGGCAGAGCAGCAGGCTCCTGAACACCAGCCTATAATACGTAAACGTAGAGCGCCACGAATGAAAAAACTCTTGTAATAGTCTGGAAATAGGTACATACACACACACATACATAATAGAGAGAGAGAGAGAGAGAGAGCTAGCTCAAGAGTGGAACTGAAGTATCATTATAGCAAAACTTCTGTCAATTTTTGGTCAGGGAACAATCAACTTAAAAATGAAGAGAGGACAAGCAATCGTATAGATGTAGTTTGTGGTGTGTAAAGGTCTAAGACATCTAATACATGTGTTAGCATACATCTGATTCCTGGGCATCATCTAGTTCACAGGGGTCAAAGTCCAGACCATGATAGTCGGGACACGAGATACCGTTGCGACAGGACCCACTCAGGAAGTAGACGCACGGTCTCCTCTTGACCGGAGAGGACTGCTGGTGACCCGTTGCCCGATGGGACGGCCCAGATTCCTGGTCCCTGTGAGGCGAGAGGGAGTCCAAGATCCTTCTCTGAGTGTCCAAGTCCAGGTCACCATGGATTGAGTCCTACACATTATCACAGTCAATATGTAGTACTTAAGTATTTGTACCAGGAAGACCCATAAAATTAATTAATCGTGCTCGGTGAATAATATGGAGTTTGGCTGACAGAAATTCTCACATTGTCAGAGTCCAGTTGCAGCTGTTGCGCCAGTTCGGCCACCATCTCGTTCTGCTGGTTCCCTTCCTCTCCCTCTCCCTCGCCAGGCCGCACTAACACACTCGGCTTACTCCTCACCTCCTCACCATCCTCACCACCCTCACACTCCTCCCCAGTCTCCCCTGCAGTCTTACTCGGTGACGCAGTAAACACAAACACACCTCCCCTCCTCCTCCCCTCCTTCCCACTCCCTCCTCCACTCCCTCCCTCAGTCCCATAAAAATCAAACATCTCAGGAACAACTGGACTGGAACCGGAACTCAGAGGGGAAACCCCCTGGACCTCGGATTCCAATGACATCATCTGATTATCGAGTGGTTTCCCCTCTCCCCCATCTCCCGGTGCCCCCTGTAATAATGATGATGATGATGTCATTGGATCAGTTTTTGCCGGTCGAGGTCTTTCAGTGACTCTCTGCAAATCAGTAGCTGGAAAAGATGCACTTCTTCGATAATGAGTTACGCCTTGCATCGCATCATTGAACTTTGCACCTGGAACACTGACTGTTAGCATGGGAACTGTATCCACGGTGACAGTAGTCGAGGCAACGACAGTTTCACCGGTGAGGGAAGAGTTAACGAGAGGGTTCTTCTCATTTTCTTCCATTGGGTGAAATCTCTTTGGCTGTCCGAGTATTGTTGGGGCCGAAAATTTTGTCTGGGAACCAGCTGACATTTTTGACGGGCCACTCGTTGAATTTTTAGCAGATTGGGAAGTGGACGATGGACGTAAATGAGGGGAGTGGTCCAATTTACAGAGCGGCCTTCGCGGACAAAACCCACTTTTCACAAAAAATGGACAGACCTCCACCTGCATAAACGTACATACATACTGTACATAGTTTCCTTTTCCTAAGTAATACTGTATGTGTACATTATTCAGCCTATATGTAATATGTACACACACGTGCAACAACTATAGGGCAACACTGTACGTATGTATACTGTATGTGAGATATGAATGGAAGGAGTGTCTGCTGGAAATGTACACACTTACTGGTGGGTAGTGACTGCCGCGTGTTACAGGAACACTAGCCATTCGCTGGATTGACGCAGGAGCCAAGGGTTGACCTAATGAGGGAGAGAGAATGGGGGAAAGGATAGATAAAGGGCAGAGGAGAAATAGAAAAGAAAGGAGGGGGAGAGTGTAAGAGAGAGAGAGATGAGGGGTGAGAGAGAGGGGGTGAGAGAGGAGAAGGAAGAGAAAGGCAGAGAGAAGGAGAAAGTGGAGAGACAGGGAACCAGCAAGTGTTATTAAACAGACCTGACGGGAGAGGTGGGGGCAGTTCAAGAGTATTTATCAGCTCAACCAGTCCAGACAGGTTGTGAAAATTGGTAAACACTTCCTACACAACACGGCATAATAATATCGCTGGTTACATCATATCATAGCCCTACATTATTATCTACTGACAATACGATGCATAACCATCGATTTAGATATGGAATTGGTGGACTGTACTTTTTGGTTGGGTAGAGAGAGGGTGAGGGAGGGGAGGAATCCTTGCTGCATGTCAGTAATCTGCTCGACATTACTGTTACTGATGAACAGGTCGTACTGATTGGAGCTGCATATTTAGTGCATAATACAATTTGTTTATCACATGAGGGAGTGAGAGAGATAGTCAGTAGAGAATAGAAGGAGGGAGGGAGACTAACTGTGTTGACACAAAGAGGAGAGCTCTGTCCATCACAAACAAACGACCTTCATACGAAAACCCTCCGCTCCGACGGGCGCAGAAGAAATCTAGCAAAACAGAAACACCTTTCACTGTTTAGTTACACACGCAACTGAACCAACAGTAGCTATATACAACAGTAAGGAGGTTATATTCTATACCTGAGCGAATTCTGCCGCAGTCTTCCACGCCCTCTTCAGGGAAACGGGTCTTCAGTAGAGCAAGCTCTACGGTAACGGCCGTGTCTCTCACCGTCGCCATGTCCTGCCTACTCACTGGGACACACACTCGCTCTACGGACACTGACTGAGCATCGTGACACAGCAAGCTAAAGAAGAGGGACTCCGCCTTTTTCCAGTTGCTATTAACTCCGCGCGCGCATGCAGTCGGCAAGGTGATTGCGCATGCGCACACTTCCCAGTAGACAGTCGAGTCTTCAACTCAGAATGAGTCAGTGGTTTTGGTGGGTGAAGCTAAGGTTTTGGCTCCTGGGGAAGCTGAAGGCTCTTCTTCAGCGGATTCCGTGCGCCAGAGAGAGCTTTCTTATCCTGAGCGCGGGTCGCTCTGGCTCGACGCTGCTTATGCAGTATCTTCGCTGTCACCCGGAGATCACATGCTCTCTCACGGAGCCGCTAAATGGTAAAACTCTCCGTTTGCATGGTTTACCGGGCTCTAACGTCTCCCCGGCAACCCTGATCAACTACCTAATGGCACAGCTACTCTCCTGGCGAAGGCGCGCGGGCTGCAAGATATTCTGCCAACAGTTGGAATTTTATCGCATTTCCTTTTCGGATCTCTCGACCGCGCTCCGCGACCCGCCCGTCATCGTCCTGTTCAGAGAAGACGCGCTTGCAACGTACGTTTCACTCCAACTGGCCTTCAAGACGGACGTGTGGTTCTCGCAAGACGAGAAGAGAGAATGCACGACCATTGAAGTTGATCCGGAGGATTATCGGGGACACGCGGAGTGGCAGCGTGAGCGTTGGAGAAACACTCTTTCGGCGTTTGTTGGTCGCGCCAATAAGAGAGTCCACTTTATCTCCTATGAGGAATTGATAACCGACAAAGAAAAGACGCTAGAAGGTGTATTCTCCTTTCTCGGTCTGCCTCCCTGCAAGACCGTGGCCTTCTCGAAGAGACAGAACCCGTTCGGCTTGCGCGAGACGATATCAAACTACGAAGACATAGGGGAGAAGCTGAACTCTTTTAGCTGTAATGTGTTAACTAAGGAATGGATGAAACGCTGCATTGAGTAATTTGAGTTGACACTCACCGTTGAGCTAGCTGCTAGCTAAAACCTAATATAATCTGCTTGCGCTTCACGCTCAGCCACGCCCCCTGCCCCGTGGCTCCGCGAAAGATGTCGGACACGCCACTGGCTCTCTCTATTGTTGTCTCCTTCGGCGAACAGGATTCACCTGATCTACTGCAGCGGACTCTGCAGGCGATTGTCGCCCAGGAGGGACGAGGGGAGAAGTTTTTTGCACGTGTTTCCGTCTGGTTCTGCGGCGGTCCATCGGCCATCATGAAGGAGCTGAGCAGGGAAAGTTCGATGAGAGCTGTGAAAGTCGTGGAATCTTCTGCCTCGTTCCTGTGTGATCTCCCGCGGTCTCTCGAGCTTCTGGAAGGACGGACGACAGGCACAGGCAGTTACGTAGTCATGGTGCGCTGCGGGGTTTTCCTGAAGCCGCGGTGTCTAGCGTTTCTCTTGGACGAGATAGACTCCGACGAAACGGGAGTTTTCACCGCCTGCGGGTTTCGCCTTTTCCCGCACGACAGGGTCTCCTCGCCGCTTACAGAGCTCAAGAAAAGAGTGCATTTCGAGTTTTACTCAGAATCTCGTCCTGGTAGAGCAGTGCATGTATTCACCCCTGACTTTTGCTGTTTAGGGAGGCCCGTACTAAAAAAAATAGCTGAAAAGCACCACCAAGATTTCGACGTGTCGAGCTTTCCTCACATTTGGTGCTCGTTTGTGATCACGTGCCACCTTGGCCTTCCCATCTGGAAGATGAAGATGAGAGAGCATCTGGACATCTCTGCCCTCCCTCCTCTCTCCTCATCACCTGTAGACAGCACCGTTTGTGACTCTGCGGCATTTGACAACTTTTACCAGATGTCGTACGACTCAGACTGGCCAAAAGGCGTAGCAGTGGTGCACTATGATCGGGAAAAACTGGATTCCGGTCTCGCGAATCGAGAGTCTTGTGGTGAAATTTGGGCCAGGGGGTTCGCTGGAGTGAATATGCTCTCTGAGCCGGCGTCCCGCCTTGATTTCCGTGCAGCCGTGAGTTGTGGAGTGAGAGTTATTCGTGTAGGGGCAGTCGGAGGTGCCGAAGACCTCATGTACCTTGTGGACCCACGCTCCACATCGGAAACCCAAGACAGAGCTCACTTGCTCAAAGTTCTCCCGAGACTGAGACGCTCGCTGACCGAAATCGGCTCTCACGGGCTGAAGGCGATCGTGACGATAGTAGACATGCCTGGGTGCCCTTTTTTCTCGATGCCCGACGACGCACCCATGTTATTTTGGGAGAGGAAGGAGCTCCGTTTGCGTGCGACGAAACTCTGGGGTCTCATAGCCCAGAACCTGGTCGATCTTCGCCATCTGATTATGGGGTACGACCTCATTAACGAGCCTTTCAATCCAGAAGATCGCGAAATCTCGTTCGTTGAAGAAACTCCAGTGTCCCACGTTGACACTCTCAACAACTTTTACAGTGACACGGTTAACGAAATTAGACTCTATGACAGGGACACAGCGATCATTATAAACCCTTCACGATATGCAATGCCTACAGCAATGAACACCCTCAAACCAATCTCAGACCCTTACATAAAGTACGGTGTCCACTGTTATTTTCCTCCTCCTCTGACTCTGAGGAGAAACACAAGTCTACAATACCCAGGAATCGTGTCCGTATTTTCCGACTGTAACTACCCCAAGAAGGTGACCGTTGATCGCGAATCCCTCCGTAGAATCTTTGTCGACAACGTGGTATCGTGGCAAGAAGAGCACAACGTTCCGTCGCACCAGATTCTTGTGGCAGAGTTTGGAATCTGTCGCGAGATCCCCGGAGCTCAGGAATACCTGAAAGACTTGGTGGAGATTTTCGCCGAGTTTGGTTGGAGCTGGCTCCTGTTTTCCTTCAGAGACGAGGAGTGGGATGCACTCGACTACGAGTTGGGTCCCCACAAGGCTAACATGCTGCATCGCTCTAACTGTGACATGTTCAAGTCAATAGCCGCACACTTTAGATAAGGCTTATCTCTAGGTTGAATTCCCCTGAAATCTTACACATAGTAATAGTGAACTTTTGTGTGAATAGCCTTTCAGCAATTCTTCCCAATAATTTTGTGTGCACTGTATATATACAAAACCTAAAACAAAAGTTATTCATGAATAATTTTTTTATCAGAAACACCCCTCAAATGAAATCGACAAGGCAAACCATAAAAAGTGCCAAGGATTTTTGCACCCTCCACCTCTGAGGAGTTTGTGTGATGAGGAAACACAGCTGCTTTACTCACAACTGAAAATTCTAGATCCCTTATATAGAAAAATGTGTTTTATACATGAGTGAGCAAAAATATTTCCAGGTTAGCCCTGCAATTTCAACTTACAACACTCCAGCAGACACATTTCTACCAGAAAACCCACCAGTACTTCTGCTGTGTTTAGCTACCCAGTAACTAAGAGTACCGAGAACTATATACACTCCAAGAAAATCCGATAGTGTAAGGGTCCAGAAATATTTTTTCTGCAGAATTACAGATTTCTGGATCTAGTGCCTCTATCAATACTTTCAGTGTCTGTGAGTTTGTTTTGACCACTGAACCAATGGATATTACTCGGTAGAATTTTATCAAAGGCAACCGCAGAACGCCTACCTACGTTGCAAGGGAATTGTTTACCATTACTATAGTATACTCAATGCTAGCAATATTAAAGAGAGCGGTATAATATACACACAAAGTATTCAGGGCATGTCTAAGACACATTCAAATGCCAGTAAAAAGTCTTTAGAGCTGTGCACAGCTTTACATGAAGTCTTTATAGGTCTCTATGAGACACTTGCAAATGCCCTCAATGATCTCTTCGGTCATTCCGAAAAAGGTCGGGAGGTAGAAGCCTCTGCGGCCCATGTCTTCAGAGTTAGGCAGAGAGACTGTTGGACCTGCAGAGGTACGGTAAAGGGGTTGGAGGTGGAGAGGGAGAAAGTAGTCGCGTGTTTCGTACCCCTCATCGGCTAAAGCTTGTCGAAGTCTCTTTCGAGTTTCTTTGGAGTCGCCCAACACCCCAAACACCCATGGGGTATCTTTACCCCACTTGTTGATGGGCATCGGGGTGAGATGGGGGATTGATTGGAGTTCGCTGCGGTATCTTTTGGCTATTCGGTTCCTGTCGTCCATGACTTTTGGTAGCTGGGACACGGCTGGTGTGACCAGAGCAGCTTGGAGTCCGGACATCTTGTGGTTTCCGCATCCCTCCAAATGAACGAAATGGTAGCGTTTGGTGAAGCCGTGATTTGCGTAGCTGTCCGCTCGCTCTTTCATGACTTCATCTTTGCGCGTGCTCAGTACGAACCCGCCGTCTCCTGCTGTTATCGCCTTGTTGGCGTAGAGGCTTGCGCAGGCGAAGTCTCCGAACGTTCCCACGAGTTTCTCGCAGCATTCCGTGCCGATCGCCTCGGCTATGTCCTCGATGAAGACAATGTTTCTGCTCCGGCAGAAATTCTGCAGCGCTACGCAGTCGGCCGGGACACCATACGTGTGCGTGACTATCAGAGCGGCCGTGTTTCGCGTCAACTTCTCGGCGTACTTCTCCACAGACGGGTTGAGTTCTCCCGACTCGCAGTCCACGAATACGGGCGTCGCTTTGACACCGAGTACAGCGTTCAGAACGGCGACCATCGTGAGCGACGGAACGAGAACATCTTGACCTTCCCCGATGTTCGCGAGCCTCAGAGCTAACACGAGCGCCGAATATCCGCTACTGCACGCCTTGGCGAACGGGACGCCATACACTCTGCACAGCTCCTCTTCCAGCTCTTCCACGACCGAAGTTGCGGAGGAGACAAGCCCGTCCTCTATGGCTTTGGCGACTCTCTCCTTCGCTCCGTCCGCAATGAACGGACGCGCGACGCGGACGCTGAAGCCCGCGGGCGGCGGAGTGGGCTCAGGATCAGGTAGCGCGTCTCTTACGTCGGCCGGGAGCTGTTCCAGGCTCCGCACGCCACGAGAGCTCATCTAGCTGGCGTCAGTGGATCGAGGAGAACGCTATAGTCGACGCTAGTATAAACGTACTCGCTGTACAATAAACGTTGCATAAGTAGCCATTCTGGCTGGCATAACTAAAAACGCACATGCGGCAGGAAGCGACCCACCTTTTGCAAAATTTCTATTGAATTTGTTGTTAACCTATATAAAACACTGCTGCAGAATTTTCATAATCCACTTCTTCACAAACTTCAATGTGCTGTGATTTGTTTCGTGTCAGTTTTCTGAAAGCTCCTTCGAATGAAATGATGCCACCTTCTATAGCTAACAAGAAACATTTTATTATTACAGAAACAACTGCATAATAGCTAATTAGAGAAATGATGACACAGTCCTGTAACAAGAAATATCACTCATTAAAAATCCATTCAGTCACCATTGACTCGTCATCAGTCAAAAAAATTTAGTTTTAGTTGCACGACAGCCCTAGAAATGTGCGGCCGATTAAACGATCCTACGCTCTGAATGTTCGCGCAGCAGGACAACAGCCTTTTCGAACCCACGAAATGCCTGAGAAGGCCTCCCATAACAGTGTCTTGTCCTAAAACAACGTCACAAGTGGATTGGAGATCTTATCTTACCGGACAGGCCAGGCTCTGTACGCCACTGCACTATATTTGAACAAATCAACCACTTACGGTATATCCTTGCCACATGCACTATACAGGCATGTGGCTTATGGCAATAATAGGCTGCGAACCAGACTGGGGTACCAGTTACAGGAATTTCTCAGATCCAGCGAGGATAAGACAGACGGGGCCATTTCTACTCTCCCACAAGAGCCCAAATCTCACTGATTCACCTTTTCCATTCAGCAGTGCAAGGTAAGTAGCTACATGGTCAGGTATTGTAGCTTGAATAGACTCAGAAGTTGCAAAAGATGATATGAATGGCCGTGGTGTTCCCGTTTTACGTCAACTGAATCGTTCTGTTGCTCTTTGTGCAGATTGGAATGAGCTCCCCTCTGCCCTACATTCGGCTGCGAAGAAAGATAAAGTTTGAGTCTGAGCCAACGCTGTGGCCTCACCAGAGAGGAGGCTGGTCTTTCGTGATAGAACAACTTCGCAGTCACCTTTTCGCTCCCGATGGCATCCTCGTCGTCAGTGCCCTGGAAGAGAACATATCCAACGAGGAAGTAATCGAGGAGCCCTGGATCGGATTTGTTCACCAGGTTCCTCGGAGTAATTACCCCTGGTACCCCGATCTCGAGCGAATGCTGACGAGCAAACATTTCATCAAGTCCCTCGAAAAGTGCCACGGGCTGTTTGTCATTTCAACACGTATCAAAGACTACCTCGTGAAGCATGTCCAAGTACCCGTAGTGAAGGTTCTATACCCAATCACTCCGTTTCCGGATGAGCTCAAATTTTCCCGTGAAAAGTTTCAAGCCGAGAGCCCCAGGCGTGTTCTATTCATTGGGGAGTTCATGAGAAATTTCCAGGCCTTTTTCGACCTTGAGGCACCGGCAACGTACAAGAAGATACTTCTGCGGTCTTCCGACGTCGATTTAGCAAACCTCTACAACAACAAGAGGGATAAGATACGACTCAGAATGAACGACAGTGTTACAGTTAGAGAGCGGGTGAGCAATGACGAATATGACCATCTCCTGAGCTCCAGCATTGTGTTTCTGAACCTGTTTGATGCCGGGGCCAACACAACCGTCCTCGAATGCCTCTCTCGACACACGCCTCTTGTTGTCAACCGGTTGCCAGGGGTAGAAGAATACCTCGGCAGCGAATACCCTCTTTATTACGAAACACTCGACGGAGCAAGTACGCTGCTTGCCAATGACGATAAGCTAATGGAAGCATCGCAGTACATGGCCCAGCATTTCAAAAGCCACCCACTGACGGGAGAGCGATTCATACGAGAATTTGTCAGCTCTTCTGTCTACCGTTCCCTCCCTCTCCCGTCTTCGCAGCAAGCCGACACCAACCAAACAAAGTTCTCTCGGTTTGACCTGACTGTTGTCGTCTGCTCTTACAAAAGAGTCTACAACATGAAGCAGCTTCTGGAGCGCTTCGTGAAGCAGGACTACTCCGGCCGCTTCGAACTCATTCTCTGGAACAACAACAGAGAAACTCAAGCCGAAATCGCCGAAATCTGCGCCCCGTTCGAGAACCGGCTCAATATCCGTCTCATCCAATCCTCGGAGAACTATTACTGCGTCATCCGTTTCGCCGTGTCCCAGCTGATGAGCAGCGAACTCCTCCTGGTGTGCGACGATGACGTTCTTCCTAACCCAAACTACATCTCAAAGTTTGTAGCGAAATACGTGGAGTACGGGCGCAGGGCTGTGATTGGTTGCCGTGGACACGTCTTTCGGCAGCACTCGCTCGACGTGGAGAAGCCCCACCTTTTCTGGGAAGACTACTGCAACATGAAGTTCTTTGACGAGGGAAAGCCAGACCGTCAGGTAAGACAACCTAATATTTGAGCCTAAGGACTGGAGGGACTAATATATACTATTAGCTTGCCTGTAGCTACAGTGCCCTAATGTATGAAATCCTGCGCTACATTATGTTGCGTTAAGCCTAAATTAAGATCAGAAACTTTGGCTACCCTTTGGAAGAATGTTCCTAATGTTGTATGCTCGTGTTGAAGGCCCACCTTGCCATGGAAACACTCCCATTTGCACTGAACATAGCCATCACAGTAAAGCAGTAAAAGACTATACCTGCTAAGACTCAAACCTCAGTATCTATGCATTTGCTGCGAGAGTGAGTGCTGCGGGAGCATGTGAAAATGTCTGGCCCTGAGTTTGTGATCGCTGTCTCCGCTGCACCGAAGGAATGCCTGTTGTCCAAACACAGCAGTTAGCTATCTGTACTGCTGTTTTCATAGCTACACACATATCGCCCCCTTTTCGCTCGCAAGAGCCGTTTCTACTCATACGGTGATATGGGGGCCAACCCACGAGTAATTCTGCAACAGCTCATTAGGTTTATGGTTTCCCCCCGCAAGAGCCGTTTCTACTCATTTGGATGCTTAACAAATTTGGCAGCTGGTACATTACACACGTGATGGCTACCTATGTACTCTCTTTGGTGACAAATTGAGGTTCCCTGTCCCAAATCTTTCTTCCTATTTCTATATCCATCCTCATACTCCCCCCGCTTTACAACTGCCATGCTCTACTGCTTAATAGGCTGGCTACGGTGATATGGGGGCCAACCCACGGGTAATGTGGTAGCAGGCACATACCAGATATAATCTTCCATGAAAGTCGGTTTTAGGTAGTAGATAGTAGGGTTGGCCCCATGATTTGATTGATGTAGTGCACTGATAACTGAAAGAGCAGCTGCTTTTAGTTTGCCTTATATAGACAGCGAGTAAAGCATTTGCGACTCAATATAATTATAGCAAAACAGAGTTTTCATGGAGAAAAATTCTGCAACAGCTCATTAGGTTTATGGGCCCCCCCCAACATAAGTTTCCGACCGGGATTACTGCACTCACATGTTGGCTGCTTTGTCTCCCCCAGGTCCACTTCCTCCACGCAGACAGTTGTCTCATTCCGCGGTCCCTCCTCCTGGAAGTGGCGTCCTACGCCCTCCCCTCCCCTGACTACATCCTCATCGATGACTACTGGATGAGCTTTGTCCTCTCACACCACCTGAGGGTCCCCCTGTGGAAGATAAAAGGTGATCAAAATAATATGGCGGGTTTCATCACGTAAAGATCAGCACAATTTTACACAGTGCATCTATACTTACAAAATGTAGTGTTCACCTCAAACCTTCACAGCTATATAGCTGGTTGTTACGTTTCTGTATTATGTGTGCAAATTGCTAGTTGAATGTACATGTTCCACACAAACTCCCTGAATCGATGTGTGTCTGAAGCATCACATGACTATCATGTGACCCACAGGTGATGACATCATGGCGTTGACCGAGTGTGCTGACGATGAGAACATTGCACTCTGCCACAACAAGGACGTTAGAGAGCAGAGCGTCAATTTTTACTGCTACCACATGGCGCAGGGCTGGCCTGCCAGCTGCCCCCTGGAAATATAGGGGGCATTATGTAGATTAGGGTTGACCTGTTCCTTTGCGCCATGATCTTAATCCGCAAACTTGAGTTTCGTGTTCAGATTAGCGTGTACAATACAAAAGACACTTAATTCTGTTACGGTTATAATAAATAACTTTTTGGCGAGTGCTGCAAGTGTAAAACGCGCGCACGCTCTCACAGTATATATAATATATACAATGGATGTGTCTGGGTGATGGTGATAGTTCTAGCGGCTGTTACACGTGGCATTTCAAAGCCAAGCGCGTTTTTAAGCCTCAAACTATTTTGCCAACAATTGCATGAGAATCAATACAAAAGAAAATCGGAAGAAGAGGGGTGCACAGAAAAATGCAAAGTATAAACAAGGTACAGTTTAATCATGTGAGCTCATGTGACTGTCATGTGATCTCATTCTTTTCGTATTTCTCCCTCACTGGCACTAGAAGATTCATAATCCACCGGCTGAGAGAGAGAGAGAGAGAGAGAGAGAGAGAGAGCTCACAATTATAATAATAGTTGCCATTGCTGTCAGCTCTCACCTTCTGCTTCTTGGAGGTGGAGGAAGGGGTCTGGCTTGAATCGTGCTTTCTCTTCCGTGGCTTGATCTCTCCTTCTGATTCAGACGAGGCAGGAGGCTATGTATATATGTAGGGAGATGGACATGTACAACACTGGAAGTTGACATTGAACTAGTCAAATTCAAACACACTTTAATACAGAAACAATAGTATTACCGTATGATGGCGCTTCTTCTTTGTCTTCTGCGTAAAGAAACATTGCCATGGTAACGGGACCACACCCACCGGCCACACCCACCTTCTTGTGTTTCCTACTACGACTGCTACGTTTCTCGGAGTCGGAGGAGTGAGCGGAGGGGGAGGGGGAGGGGCTTCGATGGCGGGTCTTCTTCGACTTCTCTTTGTCTCTAGTGGACGACGTTGCAGCTGGTTCATCCTCACTACCAGAAGACTCCTATTTATATAACAGAGGGGACGACAGTAAAACACACCAGTATACTGTTACCCCCGCTGCGCATGTGTACTGAGGGTTAAAGGAGAAAGTGTTCCTGAATTACTGCCTTCGACATACCCCTGGAAAGTACGAGGAAACGGGGAAAATGGGCTTGCACACTACATGTACCGTACAATCCACGCTTTTCGTATAGAGGAAGTTTTTTTTGCATTAGGTTCCTAGTGCAATGTGATTTTACCGATTTCGAATGTGCCTTTTTGTCTTTCTTTGCCTTCTTGTGGGAGCGATGGTGTTTGTGTCTCCTGTCGTCTCTCTTGTCCTCTTTTTCTCTGTCTCCGCGATCTTCTCTCTCCCTCCCCCTCTCCCCCTCCTTCTCCTTTCTCCCTCTCTCCCTGGCCTTCTTCTCTTCCTCCTCCTTCTCTCGTTCCTTCTCTCTCTCCTTCTCCCTCTCCTTTTCCCTCTCCCTCTCTTTCTCTCTCGCCCTCTCCTTCTCTTTCTCCTTTTCTTTCTCATGTTCAATAGCCTGCAATCAGAATCAGGACAACATAGATCAGGACACGGTTTCAGGACAGCGTAACAGGACAAGGAAAACCTTGAGAGATTTGATGAAGTCTTTGTATATTCGGACTCTCTCGGATTCCTCAGTCACGGTGTCGAACACTGGATCAGACGAGATACGAGGACGGACCTGGACACAAGACAAGAGGGGAACAACGTTATATTTCCCTAGCACTATATAGTACAATTGTGGACTGTAAGCAGAAGTATTTTGAATTGGGAGACTAAGCCCGTAGTTTCATCAGAATCAATAGCGCACAAAGTATAAGGACAAGAGACAGTTAGTGTTATTCATTTCGAAAAGGCCTAGGGATTTGTGTATAGCTTCCAGTTTTTACTCAACTGTCGTGCGGGGATCTGCGAAGGTTATGGTAGTTGGTCTGTGTGTGTGTGTCTCGGTGAGGATAATGGCACGGAAATAGGGAGTTAAGGTAGAGTTCGGACAAGGTAACGTCGGAAGGAAGAGGAACAGGGGAGGAAAATATAATTACGTACTTATAGCACTCAGAACGCCACAACACGAGGGCCCTAACGTGCGTAGATATCACTGAGTCGCCGTCTAACCATTATTTACCTCCTCCCATGGGTCAGAAGAAAGAAGAGGCGGGTTGACTGCTTTCAACATGGCCTTGAACGATGCTTCTCTCTTTCTTTGCTGAGAGGAACAAACAACAAACACCTTATCATTGCCAAGTACAACAACTCTGTCATGCTACTCAATGTATTGGTCCATGGTGCATGCTGCGTGAAAATGGAAGCGTTGCATATTGACTTGTCGCGTGGTCCACTCACACCACTATACATGAGATTTTGCCTCAAGCAACAAAGTTTTGCAGTGTACGTTGGCTTTTACAGAGAAGACGGTGTGTGATGGTGCTGCATGCACCTTTCTCTCTTCAGTTCTGATTCTCTCTTTCTCCCTCGCCTCAGCCTTCTCCACCATCTGTGGGGGAGTAATGTCGATAAAGATATATTTGAGGCAAGCAAAAGGAAATAGTGCAGAGAAAAAGGAGGCGGGTTAGCCAGAAAGAGGAAGAAGGAGAAATAGAGCAGTATATATACAGTGCCAATACAGGGGTATTGAAAGTGCCTCATTAGGACGTATATATACCAATGTCTTACTATGGGGCAGAACCAAGTGTCCTACAACATGGTCTATTCATAGAGAGAGGAGACAAGAAGCAAAATGAGAGAGATGGAGAAAAAAAGAAAAAAAGAGGAGAAGACAGGTGGGGAAAAAAAATGAGAAGAGATATGGAAAAAAAGGGAAAAAAAGATGAGAAGACAGGTGGAGAAAAAAAATGTGAAGAGATATGGAAAAAAAGGGAAAAAAAGATGAGAAGAGAGAGAAAAAAGGGGGGAAAAAATGAGATGGAGAAGGACAACATACGTAGGTGGAAAGAAGAGAAGCAAGCGGAGAAGGGGCAGGAAAGAAAAATGAGAGTAGGAAGAGAAAGAAGGAGAGAGAAAGGGCAAACTAGAAAAGAGAGAGGGGAGAGTGAAGTAGAGAACCAGGGGCAGGAAAGAAAAATGAGAGAGTCCTAACGCTGGCGAAGGTGAGTTTCATGTTTCCTCTGTCCAGAGAGTGAGATCTGGGGTCCGATGCAATGTGAGCAGTGAACTGGTCAAAGGTCGTCTCCACTTCGACTTCATAGCCCGTGTCCTGCACAGGCAACAGTGGACCCGAGTAGCTAAATGAGAGGATTACTAGACTGTACATTAGTTTACAGAGAGATTACAAGGGTGTGCATTAGTTTACTGAGAATTTACTAGGATTTACTAAGAACCCAGAATAGTGAGAGTACTAGGTATACCTATAGTAGTTCCATATCTGCACAATCTAATTTGCTATAGGTAGAAATTGAATGTTGTAAATGAAAGTTTGTAGACCTTGAGTATTTCTTTGATAATCTTCTTCTCATCATAGAGTCTTGCCTTCAGGTCTTCAACATAGAACTTGAATAGATCCAGTGGTGTGGAGCCTGAGGGGAGGGGGGTGGGGGACCAATGGAACAACTGGAGTACCAGCTAAGGGGTTGGACCAATGGAACCACTGGAGTACCAGCTTAGGGGTGGGGGACCAATGGAACCACTGGAGTACCAGGGGTATGTAAAAGAGAAAGCTTTGGGGGAGGGGGTGGGGGACCAATGGAACACTCTTACACGATATAAAAAAACGCATCATTCCAGAAGATAGGTACAGTACCTGGTTGTCCGAGCATGGAGTGGTATCTATGGTCACTGGAGATGAGGGCGTAGAGCTCTTTCCAGAGAGAGACCGAGGTTAGCTGCCCTGAGGAATGGAGCTCGTCCAGTAATGCCTGCATGAGGGTGGGGAGGAGAGAGAGAGAGAGAGAGAGAGAGAGAGAGAAAGTGGGTGTAAAGCCAGGTTTGCCAATGTATGGAGAGAGGTAGTGAAGCCCCAAAATGTGTGACAAAATTGATATTTAGTGAGAAAAGCAAGCCCACCTAATGGTTTGCATTGCACAATTTAATGGCATGAATTTAAAGGGAATGTGGCAGTATTATAAGTAGAAATGTTACTAAAAACGATAGCATTCTCTCACTGTGCCCCTATTGTGTTGCTCTATCTTTAGTAACATTTCTAAATTTAGCCATTACATACTGCCACGTTCCCTTTCAACACTCGCATTTTCTTCTTGCATTCACTCTGATAAAAAAACTTGCTCACCCGGAATCTCCCCACTACACAGTATGACATCATACCAGAAAGGCGTCCCTGTTCTTCCGGAACTTTCTTCTCTCTCTCTCCCTGTCCTTCTGTTTCCCTTCATCCTCCTCCCTCTCCAACCCCCGTATGTGGTCTTCGAACGCTACCAACATGTCCTCCTTGTCCATCTCTATGGCAACCAAACATCACCACGGCAACTTAAACATCACCACGACAACCGAGAAGGGGCGTAGCTGACCTTTTAATTCCTCGTCTTTTTTAAACAGCCTGCTATCAGGGATCATTTTTAGGGCCTAAAGGAGAGAAAAGAAGAGTTCACATTTGCAATCAGAATTTACACAAATTTGGATTTAGAAATTTAGAATGTACAATTGTACAGTAGAGTGCGCGTGCATTATGTCATGGACAGGCTCCAGTTTCTCATATTATGACAGAAGCTCAGTTTACGTATGTGTAGGCAAACACACATTAACTTGTGGATATGTCTAGAAGGTGCGGAGAGATGCACATGTATGAACTAGGAGAGAGAGATGGAGGGGAGGGTAAGAATGAGTCTTAACCTCGTTCCAGGTGGTTCTGTAGGTGATAGAGGTCATGGAGTTGAGGACTTTGGCCATCACTCGTCTGTTCCTTCTCTCTGCTGCCGCTCTTGTTCCTGGACAGACAGACACATCCACCACACACACAGATGAATAGAGACAAGAAATAATCAAAGGCAAACATCTACAGGATAATCAAGAAATTGGCACAGCTGGGTAGACCTACTTCACTCTATCAACATGTATGTATCATCCAAACACACACAGATGAATAAAAGACAAGAGTGAAACAATCTAAAATTTAATGGCAAAAATCTATAACTATAGCTAGGCACATATATACACCTATGACCTCAATATGTTCTATATATATACCTGAAAAATATTGGAGAAACCAACTTTAGTAAATAATGCGCCATGAAAAACAAGTCCAAATATTTATTTCTCGTTTTGGGTGACAGGCTGTTAGATATACACATATGGTAGTTCTAACCTTCTCCTTCTCTGTGAGAGCAAACACGACGTCGTCGTACACGTCTTTCCTCTCCTCTGGATGGACGGCCCTCCAGAGAGGATGGTCGTCAAACACGGCACACACCCTGCGCCATCTTATCTCCGAGTGCACCTGCAACGTACATACGCCGGTTGGGAGGGGAGGAGTACTATATAGAGTGCACCTGCAACGTACATACGCCGGTTGGGAGGGGAGGAGTACTATATAGAGTGCACCTGCAACGTACATACGCCGGTTGGGAGGGGAGGAGTACTATATAGAGTGCACCTGCAACGTGCATACGCCGGTTGGGAGGGGAGGAGTACTATATAGAGTGCACCTGCAACGTACATACGCCGGTTGGGAGGGGGAGGAGTGAGGAATACTATATAGAGTGCACCTGCAACGTACATACGCCGGTTGGGAGGGAGAGGAGTACTATATAGAGTGCACCTGCAACGTACATACGCCGGTTGGGAGGGGAGGGAGGACGAGAGTACTATATAGGAGTGCACCTGCAACGTACATACGCGGGTTGGGAGGGGAGGAGTACTAGTATATAGGAGTGCACTGCAACGTACATACGCCGGTTGGGAGGGGAGGAGGAGTACTATATAGAGTGCACCTGCAACGTACATACGCCGGGTTGGGGAGGGGAGGAGTACTATATAGAGTGCACCTGCAACGTACATACGCCGGTTGGGAGGCGGAGGAGTACTATATAGAGTGCACCTGCAGCGTACATACGCCGGTTGGGAGGGGAGGAGTAGAGTGATATATGAGTGCACCTGCAACGTGCATACGCCGGTTGGGAGAGAGAGGAGTACTATATAGAGTGCACCTGCAACGTACATACGCCGGTTGGGAGGGGAGGAGAGTACTATATAGAGTGCACCTGCAACGTACATACGCCGGTTGGGAGGGGAGGAGTACTATATAGAGTGCACTGCAGCGTACATACGCCGGTTGGGAGGGGAGGAGTACTATATAGAGTGCACCTGCAACGTACATACGCCGGTTGGGAGGGGAGGAGTACTATATAGAGTGCACCTGCAACGTGCATACGCCGGTTGGGAGGGGAGGAGTACTATATAGAGTGCACCTGCAACGTACATACGCCGGTTGGGAGGGGAGGAGTACTATATGGAGTGCACCTGCAACGTACATACGCCGGTTGGGGAGGGGAGGAGTACTATATAGAGTGCACCTGCAACGTACGCCGGTTGGGAGGGGAGGAGTACTATATGGAGTGCACCTGCAACGTACATACGCCGGTTGGGAGGGGAGGAGTATATAGAGCACTGCAGTACACGGTTGGGAGGGGAGGGAGTATATATGAGTGCACCTGCAACGTACATACGCCGGTTGGGAGGGGAGGAGTACTATATAGAGTGCACCTGCAACGTACATACGCCGGTTGGGAGGGGAGGAGTACTATATAGAGTGCACCTGCAACGTACATACGCCGGTTGGGAGGGGAGGAGTACTATATAGAGTGCACCTGCAACGTACATACGCCGGTTGGGAGGGGAGGAGTACTATATAGAGTGCACCTGCAACGTACATACGCCGGTTGGGAGGGGAGGAGTACTATATAGAGTGCACCTGCAACGTACGCCGGTTGGGAGGGGAGGAGTACTATATAGAGTGTTTGTAATATTATAGCTGGATAAAACTAAAACTAAGTCTGAGAAATCAGAAGAATAAAGAACAGAGAAATCAAGAACCGTAAATCAACTGGTAAAAATACTGAAGAACCGACCTCTTCATGCTCCTCCATGACGCGACGAAGCTCCTCCCTGTTCTTCTTGGCCTGCTGCCTCTGTGCCTCCTGAGGTTTCCGTGACAACATACATGACCACACCCCCATCAACCACGCCCACCCTCACCTTCTCCTCCTTGGCCTTCTGCGTCTTGTACATGTTGAAAACTTGCTTCTTCTCGTTCAGCTTTTTGAGAGCTCTGCATGGAAGGGTATAATATAACACTCACTCATTTCACAAGGTTTCAACAAGATGGGTGCTTCCTTCCACTGAGAGGGTATTGACCCACACCAGCTTCTCTTTTGGTTACGTTGGGGGAAACTGAGGTGTAATATGCCAGAAGGTGGCCAAATCAGTGTGTCCTAAACCTGGAGGTACCCCAAACATCAGTGTGTCCTAAAACCTAGTGTGTCCTAAACCTGGAGGTACCCCAAACATCAGTGTTTCCTAAAACCTAGTGTGTCCTAAACCTGGAGGTACCAGTGTGTCCTAAAACCTAGTGTGTCCTAAACCTGGAGGTATATACCCCAAACATCAGTGTGTCCTAAAACCTAGTGTGTCCTAAACCTGGAGGTACCCCAAACATCAGAGTGTCCTAAACCTGGAGGTATATACCCCAAACATCAGTGTGTCCTAAAACCTAGTGTGTCCTAAACCTGGAGGTACCAGTGTGTCCTAAAACCTAGTGTGTCCTAAACCTGGAGGTATATACCCCAAACATCAGTGTGTCCTAAACCTGGAGGTACCCCAAACCTAGTGTGTCCTAAACCTGGAGGTATATACCCCAAACATCAGTGTGTCCTAAACCTGGAGTACCCCAAACATCAGTGTGTCCTAAACCTGGAGGTATATACCCCAAACATCAGTGTGTCCTAAAACCTAGTGTGTCCTAAACCTGGAGGTACCCCAAACATCAGTGTTTCCTAAAACCTAGTGTGTCCTAAACCTGGAGGTACCAGTGTGTCCTAAAACCTAGTGTGTCCTAAACCTGGAGGTATATACCCCAAACATCAGTGTGTCCTAAAACCTAGTGTGTCCTAAACCTGGAGGTACCACAAACATCAGAGTGTCCTAAACCTGGAGGTATATACCCCAAACATCAGTGTGTCCTAAACCTGGAGGTACCCCAAACATCAGTGTGTCCTAAACCTGGAGGTATATACCCCAAACATCAGTGTGTCCTAAACCTGGAGGTACCCCAAACATCAGTGTGTCCTAAACCTGGAGGTATATACCCCAAACATCAGTGTGTCCTAAACCTGGAGGTATATACCCCAAACATCAGTGTGTCCTAAAACCTAGTGTGTCCTAAACCTGAAGTCAGCAAGGTGTCCTAAACTTGGCCCCGCCCTAAACCTAAACGGACTCACTCACCCATATCTCGGGTCAGAGATGATGAGTTTCATGGCCTGGTCCCAAGAGGCAGTTGAGGAGACGTCTTTCTCCCTCAGCAGTTCCCTAAAGGCCTGCTTTGCCTCCTCTCTTGAGGCATACTGCGGCTTTCCCAGGTCCCTGGGGGGAGGGAGGGGGAGGACTTGCTGTGTGCAGGGTTGTCATGGATACCCCTCCTCTCCACACACACACACACACTCGCTTCAGTTCTTACACTTCTAGTTTATCCTCGGGCGTCGTTGCCATGGATACATCGGCCCCACTACTGCTACTGGTCTTCTCCGTGGAAACAGCTGGTGATGATGTCACGGTGGTAGCCGTGGCACCCACTGTTGGGTCAAAATTTGATTGGACAATATCAGTGGAATGGTGGCAAGCAACATACCTCCTGTAGCGGTGTCAACTGTGGCACCATCTTTACCCTCTCCTTGTACCACCTCCTCCTCCTCCTCCTCACTCTCCCCTTCGCTGGAATGGGAAAAACAGACCACACCCACTGACCACACCCACAAACAGGCGAAAAATCAATCAAGCCTCTTTTTAGTTCACACACACACGCCGAGGGATAATAACGCCATTCCAGACATTATGGTAAATCATGCGGGGTCAAATTCATGCACAGTTCGACTCAAATTCACACGTCATTTGATCAAGTTCGTAAAGAACCACGTTATTTCAAGAGCACTTTCTATGAACTAGATGAAGGAATGAATTAAAAATACATATATATTGTAGATGATACCTTAATGGCTGGTCTTTCTCCCTCTCAATTTGAGCTGTAACAGATGTAAAATTGTGATAATTGGCTGGCATATTAATGATGATAGGTGGATCAATTTCCTTGTCAAATGCATTAGGCCCAATCAGGATTGATCGACCAAATGCTGTGTTATGCTCAAGTTGATGACTACCGTGTTAGGCCAATGATCAACAAAATGTGTTACGCTCAAATTGCTCATTATGCGTGATAGGCTTGATCAACATTGTGTTGAGTTCAATCGAAGTGATCAAGTGTCTTATGAAATTGCATTAAGCTCATCAAGTCACACCTTTCAGCTCCTCCAGGTCTTTAGGTACACTCCAAATGGATTCCTTGGTCTCCGTATTATAGAATATGGCTTCCCAGTATCGCTCTTGTGTTCCTTCCATTTGCTCTGAGCCAACAGTTTCTGGAGGAGGGAGGGGAGAGAGAGAGAGAGGAGAGAGATGACGAGAGAGAGAGAGAGAGGAGAAAAGATGACGAGAGAGAGAGAGAGAGAGAGATGACGAGAGAGAGAGAGAGAGAAAAGGTAAACATTTTAGAGACTTATAGTTAGATAGTGAGTTGGTGAAATCTACGCGCCTTCACGTGCGAGTGCGTACTAGTGGTTAAGAGATAGTGAAGTGAACAAGCCAATATGCAAATTAGCCTCGACCTGATCCGCTTGTTCTGTGTGTCTTGAAGGCACAAGAAGTCACAACGAAGGGCGTGTATAGACTCCCGCATGCTATCTACTACTGTAGCTAGCCCATGTCAGACTCTCCGCGAGCTACTAGCGGGAGACCACGAGTAAACGCATACTAATAGGCCCAGCCCATCACTTAGCGGTACCGCGCATGCGCTGTGCGCCAAGGACTTGCACTTCACTTTTTAGTTCAGATATCCAGTGCATTGCCAATTCTACAACGATCATTCCAAAGGCAGGCCACTGTTTTCTATCTACAAAGTCCCCCTGTTCCCAAATATCTTTAACTACCATTCTTTGAAAAACCACAGAAGTGGAAGGAAGATATAGTCACCTCTCCGTTTGTCATGAGGTCTTCAGGCTTGGACCAGGAGCTCTGTTTGGTGTCGCCATTATAGTAGTACATCCGGCCGTCTGGAGCCTTGTGCTCCGTCCATGCTGCTACTGCCTTCTTTACCTGCACACGTGTGCAACAACCAGGGCACATCAAGACTATAACTTTAGACTGACAGACACACTGTACTGTACTGTACTGTACATTAGTCCTGCGTCGATTATTCTCAGGCCTACTGTACATTGTATATTACTAGAGGAATGCTTTTGGCGAGCGAAACGAGCATTTCAATATTTCGCACGTTTTATCGCTTATTTAGAATCACGTAAACATTACGGTATGTTGGTCCCTGAGTCCGTGGTTCTGTTACCAACCAATCAACCAATCAACCAAGGACACCAACCAATCGCCATGGACACCAACCTTAACAACCGTACCATACTTCTCTCTAGAAACAATTTACGCAATTATGCAACAAAGAGGAAAAAACTATTTGCCAACTTTATTTACAACCAGATTCTTTCGAACAGCCGATGCTGCTTCATACGTACCTTCTTTTTCTTCTTCAGAGGCAGTGTAGTCACACCCACTGTCCCGTTAGCTGTAGTGACAGCAGGGGCACTGGTTGCCGGGGAAACTGTAGCAGCCGTAGCTGCCTGGAGAGATGTTGAGAATTGCATGAGGATTACTGAAAAATAGTCGTATATTATTGAAAGACAAAGTTTAGGATATGCGAAGATTACTGAAAATGTTCACATAGATTACTGAAATACAAAGTTCAAGATTACAGATGTACGTGCAGAATACTGAAATACAGAGCCAGAAAATACTACGGTATACAGCTATGGATATGTGCAGATTACTGACAAATGCGTAGATTACTGAAATACAAGGCTCGTCATTTGGTGCAGAGTACTGAAAAACACAGCCCAAAATTACTAAGATATGCAGCTCAGTATATGTGGAGATTACTGACGGTGGCAGGAGTTGGGTGTGGCTTGGACGGGAAAGAGGAGGGAGGGAGGAGGGAGGGAGGGCCTGCGGACGCCACTTGGGATGCCAGGGCAACGGAGGAAGAGGAGAGGGGGACGAGGGGAGATCCCATGCCCGGTGACTGTTGCATCATGGGCGGAGTCATTCGGGCCCCGCCCACTGGAGACCCAGCGGGTCCAACTGGAGGACCAGGGAGCCCGGGTGGTCTACCTCTGACCAGACAGAGAGACAAGCATTCTCACATCAACATAATTATATCTCAAAAACATTCTGGTAAGAAAGTGCCAGGAGGCAATTGAAAAAATGGCAGCAGTTTTGAAACAAAGGGTGTTACAGTAGTATGCGATGGAACTGTATACTATATATATATATATCGGCAATTTCTTTTCTCTCCAGACTTTTCTCTTTTCCCTAATGTCATTCCGAAATTTTGCCATGTTTTGCTCAGTTTTTCACTAATCTCACTTAAAACTTTCATCTTTTCTCCTCATCTCGCTCTTTCCGTTCCTTCCCCTCCCTTCCTCTCCCCCTCTCTCCCCCTCCCCTCCCATCTCTCCCTCTCTCCTCCATCTCTCATCACAGTAGTCTGGCTGCCCACCTATACCCGTGCATGGCGGAGGAAGGAGACATGTGCATGAAGCCAGCAGCTGGCGGCCGCGGTTGCTGGGGTGGAGCCATTCTCACAGGATACTGTCCCATCTGAGGAAGAGGAGGAGGTGGCTGGGGGAGGAGGACACAAGACAACGAGATATTAGTGCATACCTACCAACCATCTACCATTTTGCTTGTAGGGAGGTGGCGATTTCAAGAAAAAATCAAGGTTAATCTGTTATCCCGTAGGTATGCTTGTGTTGACATAGTACTCTTTGGCGCGGAAGCTATCCACCACCACAAGCAAAGTTACATTGGATGAAGACGTAGCATTCATGCAGCAAAAAGTGCAGTTTTGTAGAATGAATCTCGTTTCTTTATAGACTTGAAAAACCATGTATTATGTAACTAGTCAAATGGTGCATAATGAATTCCAAGACTGAATAATTATTGCAAATCACTTCATTGAAAGCACTTCGTTCAGAAGTTCATGAATGCCGCACACAAACTTTCGTACCCAACTTTTGTAGATTGTAAAATTTTCTTGTGGTACTAACCCTCATCCCTGGTCCTGGCTGTGGCTGGTACATCATCTGCTGCGGCTGATACATGGGACCTCCCCCAGGGGGACCCACCTGCCCTGAGGGAAATCCTCCAGGGGGACCCCCACCCCCTGGGGGAAATCCTCCAGGGGGACCCCCTTGCCCTGGGGGGAATCCTCCAGGGGGTGGAGCCATGTGTCCATGTGGCGGCTGCATTGGCATGTTGGGTCGTGGGGGGAATCCCCCTGGGCCTCGCATGGGGACTGGCTGACCTGGAAACCCTGATGCCTGCATGCAGGGGGGGAGAGATGAGTGAGTAGATGTGGAGGTGAGAGAGAATGATAGGGCAAAAAGGACTTTAGCTACTCCTGGGCAGAACCAACAGAGAGCTTTTGCCAAACCCTCACTATAGAGGTGTCCTTTATTAGAGAGGTAGCTATTTCACTGCTCCTACTCTTTCTCCCCCTCCCCCCTCTTTCTGGCAAATAGCAATCTCTCCTCTAACAGCTCGGTGCGCATTTATTGGAATAAAAGCGTGCACTCAGAGATCCCTGCGTTCACCAACGTACCATGACTATGAGCAGAATCTACGACTGGAAGGACTTCTACTGAGGTGTGAATGCTAGTCCACAGTCGCCTAATGACTCCAGCTGCGCTCCGTCTTCCCGCGCGCACGTGTCGGATTACTCTAAATTTTTTACAACCTTTCAAAAAAGTTTTACACGACCCGACATAAATATAGGGGTAGACCACAAAATACACGAAACGGTCGTCCAGTCGGTGGTCTCAAAGGGCGCTGAGGAAAAAGTCATCCCATTGACTGAGGAGAACGGCCACAAACGTTGCCATGGCAACCGCTCCATACACCAGAGGAGGAGTCATGGGTACGCCAAACAGTGTTGCCTGGAGACAAGGGAGTGAGGGAAAGCTGAATTAATAGCAGCATCTTTGTGTTCAGAAAGAAGTATATACTATAGCTAATGTGTTAACATAATTTACACACACACACACACACATACATACAAGGCAACAGATGAATGGTAGAACTCACACTTTAAACATAACAGAAAGAGTTTGGCTACACTCGAGAAGCAGCTCACCCTGAGTCTCACGCAATGAGTGAGGAGAAGGAGAGAGTCCAGCTCCAACTGGGGTGTGTTGGTGTAGAGGAGAGGTCGCGACCTTATCTCAGTAGCCGTGTCTTTCAGTATGTGACAGGCTCTTGTGACACGAGTGGCCTGCACACAGACACACACACACACACACACACACACACACACACACACAGACAACAGACAACTCATTAAATACCATAGTTCATAGTTTGGTGTCAAGATCTAGTTTTTGTATCATGTAAATGTACAAGTTACAGACACTATTTCTTGGTAACTTTAGAGCATTTTCGAAAAAAGCAACATTTACAAGTGTCTGAATCTGCATGTGTAAAACTTTATATAGCTGTGACGATATAACCTGTATGATTGGCAAGGAAACGAGGGAAAACCAGGTGATTATGTTGAGAACGGCGACAGTCAATTTGAAGGCATCGTCTTCGTCATAGTCATTCATCTTGTTGAGAGTCAGTCCAGCTGCAAAATACACAGTTAGTATCCTGAAATATACAGGAGTATACTGAGAGACCCTGAGAATATACTGACAACTTTTAAAGAGTATACTGAGAATAATACAATAAGTGTCGAGGGGTTTTACTAATGCATCCAGGGGTAAACTGAGAGTATACTAATTAGGTATCGAAGGGTATACTGAGAGTATACTAAGGTATCCAAGAGTTTACTGAGAGTATACTGAGAGTGTACCGAGAATGGCCATGTTTCCAACGATGAAGATAATGAGAGCGACAGAAGTTGCAGCTCTGCCATTGAGTGTCCGCAGGTATCTTCTACACTCCAGAATATCCTGAGTTTGATGAAGAGAGGGGGGAGGGGGAGAAGGGAGAGAGAGAGGGAAAATGTGTGCATTATGCAGTCAGTTATCTTCTTGGTGATTCTTGTGGAAACCTCCCACCCCTGAAATGAGGACACCTCTCTAGTAAGGACACCTTTTCTCTCTCCAAGCAACCCCTAAAATAAGGACACCTCACTAACGGCTGTTCTAGTGCATAATGTGGATACTTTTATCTTTACAATTGGTGTCCAAATTAGAGGCATTCCACTGCATTCCGAACCAATTTCAACCCACCTTGATCGCAGCGTCAATGTTGTGGTATTGGTTGTTCTTGATGAGGGTGGTAATGGAGGACACCAGCCACACGAGGAGTTCGCTCTGCACCGCGTGGTTCATGGCGGTTGCCACGTAGACCATGTCAAAGAACAGGAACCCCACGAGGGAGAACACAACTAGAACCACTTTCTCTGCCTCGTAGAATCTGAGAGAGGGGGGGAGGAGGGAGGGATGGAGGTGACAGACAGACAGACAGACAGACAAGACAAAAGCAGCATAATCCATCCCACACAAATTTGGGGTTTTGCAATTTCTCTAGTAACCTTACATTTCTGAATTCCATTTGATGACAACGGAATTATCCATCAGATGGGCAGAGAAAATGGTGAGTATTCTGATCACCAGGGATACCAGTATCCATAGGCAACCGCTGATACAGAACAACCTACGTATGACATTGTACGTACAGGGGGTTAAGAGGGAGAGAATGAAGAGAAAGTCTCAACTATACAAGGGCGTATTATAAACCACACAATGAGTTAACAATAAATACAGTTGTATCTGTTTGGGTTATTATGCTACTTGTGAAAACTACACTTCGTCGTATACTTAACCCTTTGGACGCCATGGGTATCTGCTTAAATAAGCAGAAATTGATGTATAAAGTATTAGCGCCTAGTATTATAACCCCCATATAAATTCTTATGGACTTATGGAGCCTCTGGACACATTTATGTGTCAGTGGCTGGTTAAGTGTCAGAAGTTACACACTTGCAATATCGGCCTTTACTCACGATACTCATCTTCCCCCTTGCCAAAACACCGAATGCCTACGTGTAAAGTCTGCACCCATCATTGTGCTGTTTGCAATAGTGCCACACAATGCAACTGCTGAAGCAGGCAGCAGCTCTAAACACAAGAGTTCTGGTCAAACAATGAAAGTCCACTAGTCCAGATGTGTACAATACCCAGGAAACATGCAGAGGTGTGTGCAAATAAAACCAATACTGAGCTGTGTACATGTTATCGTTGTTTTGTTCACAGAAGGATATCATGATGGGACTGCTGCACATTAATTTGGGACTGATCCACATTAATATTACTCTCTGTTTGATTACTAATTTTCAAGGGGAAACTCTTTATCGGCAGACTCCTTTATAAACAAAAACATGGCTAAAATAGAGTGATTAAAAGCTCTCAAAAGTCCCTTCACTGATTTAAAAAGACTGACTCTCTTATCATAGTATCTGCTAAGATAACAATTTTATGTTTTGATCGAGGAAGAATAGTATATACCACCCCATTTTGTGTTAGTACCATGCACCCAATCAATGTTTGAAACAGAGGGACAAAGAGAGAGGAGAGGGGCTGACATGATAACTAGCAGTAGCCTCCAATTAGAGCCCCTCTTAGCACCAGACACTTGACTTGATATGGAGTTCATTACAAAAGCCTGCGAAGAGGAGAATTCACAGATAAATGTGAGGTAACTACTAGAACAAATGTAACATGTAAATATGGAGTGCGACACTTTATGCGTATTTAGAAACACTTATAATATTATAGACAGCGCACGCAGTCTTCATCAAATGTGGAAATCACAGAGTTCAGGCAACTTGGCGCACTTGTTTCGCTCGTCGTTTTAATTTTCTCCTCCCCCCTCCTCCCTCCGTTTTTCCCCCTCTTACCCGGGAGGCAAGGTTATGAAGGTAAGACAGATCCCCGCAGTCCTCCGACCGGAAAAGGTACACTCCGTAGACGTACACCACCAGCAACAGAACGTCAAACAGAATATAGTCGGTGAACAGGTGTTTGTGATCACAGTAGAGCGTGCGGCACGTTGTGTTGTAGTCCTTCGCGTCGTCCGCCGGGATGATTCTCAACGAGTTGATACCGTTGTTGAGATCGTGGCAGGATTCGTTGTACACCCTCCAGGTGTGGCTGTCGTGGAAGGCCAGAAACTGAGGGAGAGGGAAGAATTTTTATCTAGGGGGGGCAGGAAGAAATTTGCCCCCCCCCTGGCTTAAAAAGTGAGACTAGTTTAGTTGTACTAGGAGAAATGAAATGCATAATGCAAGTTATTACAATGCGAATTTTGAACTGCTAGGGCTATATACAGTATGTATAGGTGATATTTTGCTTGCAGTGGAGAGAGTGAGTAATGTGCCAACCTTGTCCCTCCTAAAACAGGACAGAATCTGGGCAATAAAGGCACCAACGATGACCAGCATCCAGAAGAGAACTAGAACAACGTGGATCGCCTTCCGCAAGCGAGGGGCACAGCAGTCGCTTTGGGGAGGAATCCACCCTAACTGTGGGTGGGGGGGAGGAGAAAACGAAGGTAGATAAAGAGAGAAATAAAGGAGGCAGAAAGTAAAGTTTGTCTAGAGAGAGTGACTTACAGCAACTAAGACGCGGCGATAATGTTTGAGTGCCCACTTTTCGCACAGTTCCAGGGCCTGTGTAGTCACATCTGAACCCTGCAGACCACAGAGAGAGGCGAGCGAGGGAAGAGAGGGGAGATAGGAGAGAGAGAGAGAAAGAGAGGGGAGAGAGAGAGAGAGAGAAAGAGAGGAGAGATAGGAGAGAGAGAGAGATTGTGTGTGTGTGTGCGATACACAGGTACACCAATTCTGGTTAATCACAATTGCGAACTAGCTAGCCGTCTTTTGAGTGAAACAGGATTATGCATTCAGAAAAGGAAATATATACTGTCTGGTTGGCGGGACTATTAGTGATGGGCTAGTGCCATGCACAAAACTACTCGGCTTACCCAACATAACAGGGACAATAGGACGTGGAGGTCGCCTTTGTTTACAACTGCAGCACACCCACTTACAAAACACACCTGAATACTGACAAACTCATTCGAAGACGTGGAAAGTTCGAGTGAGCTGGTTAGCTGCTGATCCGCGTAGCCATCGTAACCGGCTCCTTTTCTGCCGGAGAGACGTCTGTAAGAGGACTCCAGCCCCCGCTCCACGCTGTCGTCTCCCAGGAGAACAGCCGTAGTGGCGCCAGGGTTGGTGAAGGAGTCTGTCGAGCGGCGACCGCGAGAGCGCGGAGGAACGGGCAGACGCGAGGTTTGCTGCGGCGTGAATTCGCTGGACACGTCGTCTTCTGGAGGGACGTTGATACACAGGGGGCTCCGTTCGTCCACTCCCCCGGCCATGTTCTTCAGCATAATTGTCTCTGCTCCGAGTGACAATGATCGCCACCTCTCATCATCTTGCATCATTGATCGCATGCGCATGCGCGCACCACCAGCTTACACGCATGCGCACATCCAATTTCTAGGAGCCAGCCAGATCAAGAAACGGTGCTCGCCTCTGGTGTTTCATTGATTCACCCAACCTCATTATGAGCTACATACAATACACTTTACAATGTGTCATACAATAACCCTGTTATGCAGCATAATTATAGAGCACAGAAGGGGGTGTGGCTAATGTCCCTGCTCTAATGACCATAATCAGGAGCCCTCTTCCTACAAAAGACACACAGATAGTAAGCAAGGGGTTTCTTGATGCACTGCATTAACAATTTTAGCGCGTAACAAATTTCTGGGTAAAATTATTTGCACGTGGACCATCAAACCACGATAACTTTTTAAACCAGACAGGAGTATGAAAATTGGACGATTGTGTGATGTGTAAAAATATTAAATATACACCTCCGATAGAGTGCTGTAAAAAAAGTTCGAACGCGGCAGAAAATGTGACAATGCAAGATGAGTGAAAGTATATACCTCGGAGCAGCCTTGAGGACGTTGTCGACTCTGAGGATCATCTCTGCAGCCTCTGCGGCCGACAGGAGCACCTGTCTCTTCACCTGAAACGACTCTGTGACGCCGAGACAAGCCATGTCACCCACACTGCCCTTCACCATGTCTGGGAGGGAGAGGGGAGACGGGAGAATAATTACGTGGGTTATTGTTATTTTTCTTTCTCTTGAGTCTGGAGTATATATAATATTATGAGAAAGTAGATAAACCAAACGAAAAGATTACGCTTGTTGCTATAAATAATTTCATTGAGAAGTGTCTGTGGGAAATGGCATCCTAAACTGTAGGTATAATTAACTAGTAAGCAAATGCAGGGAATTTTTGGCGAGCGGGAGCAACCCTGCCCCCTCAATTTCGGAACCTCACAGTACACCTCCTGAAATGTTTTCACTAAAGTTTGTACAAGAAACTGATATTTCTTATTAGCCTCCCTCCCTCCCTCCCTCCCTCCCCTCCTTGTCCCGCTCACCGAGACCCATGGTGGTCTTCCCCTGACTGTGGAGAGCTCTCAACTCCGACACCAACTGGGAACTGTCGTAGCCAGCATTGTCTGCTATTATTGTCGGCAGCTATAGAGAGAGGGAGGGAGAAATCAGACAGAAAGAAGAAACAAAATTCGGTATTCTCAAATACCCCTTCCCAATCCTGCGAATTTAAAAAAAGAAGACAATTTAGTCCTTCGGTATTCTGTATTTGAGGCCCTGTATGTTACACGAATTGGCAAAATCACGGTTTGCAGTTTCAAAAGGTGTGAGAAAGTGTCTCACTTGTCTGAGAGCCGTGGCAAAGCCCTCCATGGCCCGCGCTTCCTTCCCAGGTGTCTTGTCTGCCTCCTGTTGAACCGCGTGAGCCATCGCCATTTCAGAGGCTCCTTCACAACCAAACACAAGAGAAAAGAGAGAGATCATTAATATTGAGCATTTGCTCTCTTCTGGTCAGCCATATTATTTATCTTCATGTCTAGAATTCAATTCTCTTCTTCTTTACTTGTCTTACATGGGAAATAGTCGTTCAACCGTTCTACATACTGTACTCTGTTTGACTCCAAACTGCGACACGCAATAGACTCATAGCACATAGTGTGTGGAAGTGATTTACGCTGAGTATCGAAGCCAACTCAGCTAGAAGTAGACTATAGGATCATTATAACACCACTAAATTTTGCCGGTTTTCGCATTATCGATTCCTCACCTCCGCCATACACGACTCGTGTCTCCCTCACGGTCTGCTGAAGAACACACAGAGCATCGTGAAGAGATCGCTCGGCCTCGTCCAGAATCTGCTGGGTCGCCCCGCGAACGACGATCGTACACGCCTCGCCGAGGGCAACCCCAGAGAACCTCAGCAACATGTCCTCCCCTATCATTATCTCCTCAATGAGTTTGCAGCTGCCTAGTTTGGCCTTCCCGGGACTGTCAAATGTTGAGACAATGTCGCCTCCTGCGAGGAGAGGGAAGGGAAGAAGAATACAACAGAAAGAACAGCCACATTTTCAAAAAGTAAGGTGAGATAATACCATAGTACAACCATCACATCAACATCTTTATCGAATATACTTCTCACAAATGGTTGAAGGTGTGAACGCAAAACTGGAAGAACTTGTGAAAAAACACTTTCAAAATTCCATAAAATGTACGAAACTCATGAATTTATCATAAAAGTACACCTTCCCTCCATATCAACAGTCCTCACCCAGCACAAGAGCCAATCTCTCTATCCCTTCAAAATCAGCATGTTCTATCGCCATGACGCCAGCATCGGCAAATAGCTGCTCGGGGTAGTTGTATATCAACTGCCTGAGGCAAAGAGAGAGCAATTTGAAACTGAAAGTGGGGGTCCCCTGGTTTAATTACCTGTTGATGAAGCACTGAATGTCATGCTTCAAAATGTTCTCAACTTTTTCTTTCATCTTGTTCTGAAACAAATAAGACCGAAGTTAACATGCATTTTGGTTCAAAGAGGCCCAAATGTTAAAATTTCATGGAACCCACAAAAATGTTTGCTCAAGAACTTCAACGTACAAAATGGTGACGTGGAGTGTAAATTGTAATACCTTTTCGGCCAATTCTAATTCCGCAACTTTAGCAGTCGAATCGACTCTCACTTTATGACCAAACACCTAAAAAATTGAGAGGAAGAAAGGAGGGAGAAGAAGGGAGGAGGGAGAGAGGGAAATCCAAGTGGTATAAGAACGCCATCTTGGTTCTGTATTGTCTCAGAGAGACGATCAATAACCTTGATCTTGTCGGTATCCATGGAGGTGTTGGCGATGAGAATTCGTGGATTCTCCAGTCTCTTTGGCTGGTTGACTCCAACCGTCTTCTCCAGCAAGAATCCTGCGATAACACTAATACCTTTCGGAACAAAACTTCTGGAATTCTATGAATAGTCAACTACACTGTGCGACAAAAGCTGTCTCGAAGTATTTCACAATTTCTTGGTTGCTGTTAGTAATATGGTTATATTAATGTATGGTTTGAAGACAAAGGTATATACTAGGGTAAAAGGCGAAAGTTTGGAACGAGAGGGATAATGATCACATCCTTGTTTCCAAAATGCCACCGTACCTTCTTCCAGGTAGGAATCAGACAGGGAACCTCCCAGTTTCTTGATGATCTGAATGGCCTCCAGATTTCCGGACCTTTTGAGTCTCCCGACCGCCTCAACTGCCAGACCTGCGAAGAGGTCCTTGTGTTGAGTGAGTATCTTGGAGCTGAGCGTGGTTTTGGCTATGTTCATCAGGTCCTGTGGAGAGGGGGGGAGAGGAGAGGGAGAGAGGAGAGGGAGAGAGGAGAGGGAGAGTATAATGAACAATTCATTAATCAGCAGTTTCGATTGTGTCACAACAGCAGCTTAGTAGTGAAAGATTTTGGCTCTTATAATTTGAATACATAAAGACACTTCAAAGTTAAAAATATAGAGTCCAGTATGTACGAACATTTAGACTACGGTAACACGCAATTGACCAATCAGATTGCGAGTTTAGCGGTGACTAATTTTGTTAGTGACCTCTTCCGCGGTAACTATTCGTAGCCCCGGCAACCACGCCTTCAATTCGAAAAGACGCCACGCGCGCGGACGGTGAACCGAGCTTCTGGAGCGGTTCTTCCCACGAAGAAACCAGGAACAGGCTCTTCTAGCAGCAGCGCATGACTACTAGAGAGCTAGGAAGACGCTAGAGAAAGCGTACAGGGAAAAACGCGTACAAACGGCCGGGCAGCGCGATCCCGAAGGCAGCAACGCCTACAACGGACACTGCAGCGGGACGGACTTGCGCTGTAGTCTAAGCCGGTTAGACGCGTCGCCTTGGGAAACTACGCGATTTAGTGAGCCTCGGAGCCCTTAGTAGCGCCCTCGCTGCGCTCGGGACGCCGACAGCTCAGGGCTCCTCGGCTCACTAAATCGCGTAGTTCCCGCGGCTCAGCGTCTAACCTATACATATACACATCTACAAATGGGGTTACCAACTACTTTGGCCAGAAAATGGACACAGCTGACCTCATTAAATTTTTGAGGGTCTCCGCTGTTGTCCCTAGCAACGGTGGTAAGAGCCGCACGGGCGGCGTCGGTTGCTAGGCGCCACCCGGCGATGATTGTTTGTGGGTGGATCTTGGCGTTTACCAACCGCTCCGCCTCCTGCGACATTGGTAGTAGGGAGGGAGAGGGGAGAGGGAGAGTATGAGCAAAAAATAGTGAGAGGGTTGAACTTTGAACCTTGAGCAGTTCGCAGGCGAGAACAGTGACACTAGTTGTCCCATCACCAACTTCGTCATCTTGAACCAGAGAGATGTCTGCATACGACAGAGAGAGAGAAATAGCAGCTGCCTGATATGCTTAATAACAGCATACTTTTGGCATAAAAAGCATTTTGGGAAATCGTCTATTGGCACGTGGAAAGGGTGTGGCAGCACATATAGTATATACCAAAATTTGCACTAGGCAGGTACGTGTATTAGGGACTCACCAACAAGGACCTTTGCAGCTGGGTTGTCAACACCAATACTCTTCAGAATGGTGGCTCCGTCATTGGTGACCTGGATACCTGTGGCATGAGGACCGGTCGGCACCATCACCTTGTCCTAGGACAGGGAGGGAGGGGAGGGAAGAAGAGAGGAGAAAGGATTGAGATATAGAGATGTGTTAGAAAGGGATATGAGAAGAAAACGAGAGATAAAAAGGAAGGTATGAGGTAGAGCCTGTAATAGTGCTATACCATTCCTTTAGGTCCCAGAGTTGTCTTGATTAGGTCACCAATCGCTATGGCACCGACAAATGCTGACTGGAAAAGAAGAGAAACAGCGACCGTTACTGTGTTCAGTTACATAATCAAAACGGGTCTTATTTTTTGAGGACAAATTATGGTAAACACCCCACAAAATATTGTCAAACATAGTTATTTAGTTCCTAGAGGGCACATCCATAATCCCAATCTCTGACTATTGCACAGGAAGTGTTCCGGTGGGCGTGGTCACTCACCATTCGGGCCGTCTCCCCCTTGTCCTCCTCGGCCCCCGCCTGGAATATCTGGACTGGATTCAGGCTCACCTGCGCACGTGACCAGCCACCACGTTAACGTACAGATGGTATAGCGGCCCGTACAAACCATTGCTCTCCCTGAAAGATACACCGACTCTGCTCCGTTCGCTGATCGTGGGCCACGTGGGTGCTCACGTGAGAAGATACCTTGCGCTAATGCGCATGCGCGTGCGCGTAATCACAAAATAATATACTAAAAAGAATATATTTGTTCCATTGCTAAACATGGCTATTATACTTGTTCAAACTACCTATTGTCACCTCTCAACTTCCTCTTAAGATGTCCAATTCCCAGGTAGACAGAGTAAGACAATGCCACAGCTCCCACGACAATGAGAACAAAGATGATCAGAAAATATGTGACGATAATCCCGAACGAGGAACGGAAGATTGCTTCGTGGCACAGCGTCTTGTTTCGCTCCCACCTCTCCACGGCAGGCAGCAACTCTGACGCGGCGTAGAACGAGTAGATCACATCAACCACGAGCAACACCAGACTCGTAGCAATGGCTCCCACCGTTACGACCTTCTCGACTTTCTTATTGATATTGTTGAAGAAGAAAAAGAAAAGGTAAACGATCAAGATCGCCAGACCGCTGAGGAACACGACTCCTGTTATGAGATTCAGAGAATTGAATACGTCCGTTGGTCCCAAGGAGCATCGATAGTCATCGTCACCATCCACCAGCCCACTGATGCCTAAGCAAAAACAATGCAGTGTAGCTAATACCAAATTTTGTACTACGTACGTATTGAAACCTCTGGGTAAGGGACACTTCAGGGACATACTTGTCAGAGGTGTCCTTCTTTTGGAGTAATAATGTGGCAGAACCAAGCACCCTTATTAACGAGAGGTGTCCTATATTCAGGGGGCCCTTTGTCAGAGGTTTCAGAGCATTGGCGATGTGTTTTTGTTACCTACAACCATCAGTGTGATTCCTCCAAATGCAAAAACAACGCACAGGCTGATTACTGCAAGAAAGAGAAAAAGAATAAAAATCCTTGTTTTCACAAATATTCTTGTAGCCAAGTATGCACTTAGATCAAAGGCGCCGACAAGGCTATAAAAGAAGTCATAAGTGTTGAATAAGTCTTTCCCATGACACCTTCGAGAAACGCCTGCACTCGGGCGTATAATTTGCATGCCACCCTGAGCGGCCTAGTTATAACTAATACCAAGTGTTTTATTGTGTAGGTTTAACAACATTAACTATCGGCATTAGCCTATCTGCAGTTTGGTTAGTATAGGTATGTGTTTGTTTTCAGTCGTGCATTCATGTGGCCGTGAACTAAGGACTTCAGGGAATCACCGAACACGTAGCTATTATATCGTCAGAGGGATCTGTTTTACCTAGAAACCATCTCTCCCCATACAATACCAAAGAATCGTGCACACTGTGACACTTTACCTCCCGTTAGCAGAGCTGCAGTGCCTCCTGAAAATAAAGAAAAGACAGAGAAACATGCATTTAAAAAACGGCTAAAATAATATGTGAAGCTAAGTAATAAAACTTACGTCTATCATCACATCGGAATGGGTGCTCCCAATGGTTCTCCCGATGATGCTCCCGATGGTGCTCCCGACGGCGCGGCGGTGACTGCTGGCGTATCGTCTTTTCAGACGGCAGAATAAAATCGCGGCAATGCTCATTTCGAATCTCTTTCGCCAGGACGGTCTGGGAGACAAGTGGACTGTCTAACGCTTTAACGAGGTCCGACCAACGAGTTTCGCCCGAATTCAACCACTCAATTAGCATCCTCTCCAGCGTTCGCTCCACCGACTCCCTCGACTGACTCGCGTTCGCCTCGATGATGTCTAACTGTCGTGTCTGCATCCCCAGAGCCCTGCCGAGCTTTCTCCATTTCATGCATACATGGTTCAGCTTGATAAGCAACGTTTTCAAATCTCCCTCTTCAATTGGTGGATTCATGATGCAGCGTTATTCAGTCAACTAGACCTTGTGCAAAGTGCGCGCAACCTACTTTTTATAGGGCTAGAAAAGAGCACTTTGCCAGCTACGCGCATGCGCAATATCTGGCAAAACCGGATTTTTCACCTATCAACTTACTTTACGTTTAGAAGTACAATCGTTTTTGCAGTCTAGGTGACCACACTTACGGGTTTGTGTTTTGTGTACAGGATCTTCTGCAAGTAGCTAATACCAACAGGTCTTGCTGATCACCATAAAAACACCTGCAGCTTATATACCTAAATTGAAACTAAGTTCTTGTTTAGTGTAACCTCATAGCTCTAAATATTATGGTATAAGGACATGCTCCTAATCTTATAACTTATACAGGGACAAAGGGTAGGGCCCAGACCATCATCAATGGAAGCTAGACATTGCCGATAATTAATATGACACCATTTCATAAAAACAGGAAATATTTGATGCCAAGTAAACACTTTCCATAATTCACCTATTAAAAAGACTGGGTTTTAAAATCTCTACAGAAAAAATTACTATTTCATACTAATTATGTATGTGAGTCTATGTTGTGTCCATGGAGACAGACGTGTATCACGTTCCTGATGATCCCTGGATGTTGCTCGTCGCTCACCCACTGGAAGTAGTGGTTGGCCAGAAACACCCCTAGCACCACCAGCAGCATAAACACCAGAGAATAGCTGACAACGACTATACAGAGCGATGTCAGATAAACCTCTTCATCGCATATGGTTTCGTTTGTTCTCCTCGTTTCTTGCCACTGGTTGTAGTTGTTGATTACTTCAGGGATGACGTAGAGAAGAGAGTAGAGCAGTTCAAATACTATGAGGATGAACACCATTAGAAAGACAATCGTCTGTCCCCATACAAACACATTTAGTGAGGCGATCTTTCTGTGTCCATGTTGTGGTAGGATCTTCAAACTTGAAGTATAGGATGAAGAGAACAAGAAGTGCTGGGACACCGAAGCAGAGAATGGCAAAAGAAGAAGTTGAAAACACTAAGAGAGTGTTTGATACCCACACCATTGCACTCGAGTTCACCAGAAAACTCACGAAAACCTTAGGAGAGAGCAGTTGAAGGTGTGGATGCGATTAACTTGTGTGTTTTGTATAATATAGGCATTTTGTAGGTACCACATAAACAAGTACGCAGGTCGTGTGCGGTTGAAGACCTGAGTGGTATTACCATATAGAAGTGTGGATTAGTAAGGATTTTATTATGTAACAACTGACATACAAGGCCGCAATCCATAGACATTCTCAAATTTCATTACGAAGCTGTTTTCCCCCTTCCCCGTCCTTACTACACCCTCTGTTTGCCAGAGTGCATGTGTAATAATTACACACTATAACATAAGCGACTTTTTCTGTGCCATAAGAGCACAGTTGTGGTTTCCCTTTGCATTTTGTTGTAATTTTGAGCCCGATTGCCTGGTAGCTTATACAGCATGCAGAGCTCTCTAATAGACTGCAGTGTCGTGGGTTCAAATCCCACCCGGGCAGCTCTCTTTTGTTAGGAAAAAGAGAGTTGCTTTATAATTACACTATTGTATAGTGGAGTAGTTTCCTTTTCCTTTGCCTTGCGAGCTATATACAACTTACTCATAACAAGGATCAGAACTCCAGCAATAGTAAGCGGAACTGACAGCACTATCATTGCTGCAGGTAAAAAAGGGCATTTGTAAAGTGATATAATGTGCTGGCTTCTTGCGCACGATAAAATGTAATGTTGTGCTTTTTGTGCATGATGACTCACCTATACCAGCCAATCTTAGGAAGTTGATAAGGAATTTTGAAACGCCAGGAATTTGGATCCGCTAAATAAAAGTAGCAATATAGTTGCATAAGCTTACTGAACACATTGGTGTATGGTATTGTGGAGTAATCATGAACAGATAAATTGTTGGGTTAATTAAGGTATGGTATACCTGCCACACATGCCAGGCATCCATGAACACGGGAATGTCATGCACAGCTACATGTTTACATCTTTTTATGGTAGCATCTTTTATTAAAAGGTAACTAACACGTGTGACAGAAGCCGTCACTGCTGATGCATCCTTGTTGGGTTGCCCCTGTTCATTAGAAGATAATGGAGCATCTTGGCTCTCTGTCTCGGGGTCCTCTGGCAGATCAATTGTGGTTTCTGCTGGGGTTTGTTGTACGACAATGACTGGCTCATTCTGTGGAGCTGTTGGTAGTTTGCTAGCTGCATCGTCTCTCAGTTTGTTCAACAGCTCGATGAGAGCACCTTCGCTCGGTTCATCGGTCGTGTACTGCTCCAATGCCTTTAGAAAGCCGCGGAAAGCGGAGATTCCTCGCTTAGAGACGATTTCAATAAACTGTATGACAGTATCGGTGTCTGAGGCCGATTTCAGTTGCTGCCTCGATTCAGACAGCGTTACGCATCTGTTCCCGATCAGATAAGGGCGCAGATTGTTTAGGTTCACGGCTTTCGTTATTTCCACGGTGTGGCTTGTGAGGATCTCGGCCGCAGTGCGGTCGTCCAGCGAGAGCTCGGAATCGAGCTGGGTACGAGCTGGGGACGGATACAACTGGAAAAAATTAACAGTAGTTTACCACAGATACGTGTTCATGGATGTTAAAACCTAACCTCTGCTGCCATCACTGCTATCGACTGTCAATCGTCGATTGCTCATCCCCGTCAAAAAAAGTATGCGCATGCGCAGCACGTATGCGCGTGGGGCCGGCCAGGCCGTCACCCACAAATACTATACCATGGTCCGTTAACTTTGAGTCAACACTTTCAATACAAATGAAGTGGTAGAATGAACTAGATAAAAAGATATTGTGATGGCTATCTTCCAAACCATAAGACAATCATTGCAAACTAACTACTATAACTACTACGCACTGATATCTTCATCTCGTCGTCCAAGACATAAATAGATGACTTTCATCATGACACCAGGATGTTTCTTATCCTTGACCCACTTGAAATAGTGATTTGCCAGAAAAATCCCCAAAACAACCAGCAGAATGAAAACAACCGAATAGCCAACGACAACAATTGAGAGTGAAGTCAGATAGATCTGATTATCGCAGATGGTTTCATTTGTTCTCCTTGTTTCTTGCCACTGGTTGTAGTTGTTGATTACTTCAGGGATGACGTAGAGAAGAGAGTAGAGCAGTTCAAATACTATGAGGATGAACACCATTAGAAAGACAAGTGCCTGTGCCCACACAACACATCTCGTAATATGGTGCTTTTGTGGCCATTTAGCCTTGTGGTCTTCAAACTTGAAGTATAGGATGAAGAGAACAAGAAGTGTAGGACCGCCAAAGCAGAGAATAGCAAAAAAGGAGTTGAAGACACTCAGAGAATGACTGATACCAACTTTACACCCAAGTTGACCTGCAAACTCCTGCAAACCTAAATTAAACAAAGGATGCACAATGTCAATCTATTATACTCTCACACTACTAGAACTTACTGAAGGCAAGGATCACAAATCCAGCAATGGTGAGAGGGACTCGAAAATATAACCATACCTGCATAGAAGTATGTAATCACTTGCATGATTTATGGAAAATGGTTTGGTTGTACCAATTCCAGCAATTTGAAGGAAACAGATAAGCAGTCTCGGTACTCCAGGGATGTCTTTTATCTGTACAAAAAACATTTAGTATGAATAACCTCTACTGTGGTATTTATGCTATATAGCTTAGCTAGGGGCGTGTCTCTAGACAAAAAGGTAGATATGTGTTTTTACTGTGCCATTAGCTAGCCTCATTGGGATGCCCCTGTTCATTAGAAGGCAATGGAGCATCCTGGCTCTCTGTCTCGGGATCCTCCTCAATTGTTTCTGCTGGGGTTTGTTGTACGACAATGACTGGCTCATTCTGTGGGGCTGTAGGTAGTTTGCTAGCTGCATCGTCTCTCAGGTTGTTCAACAGCTCGATGAGAGCACCTTCGCCCGGTTCATCGGTCGTGTACTGCTCCAATGCCTTTAGAAAGCCGCGGAAAGCGGAGATTCCTCGCTTAGAGACGATTTCAATAAACTGTATGACAGTATCGGTGTCTGAGGCCGATTTCAGTTGCTGCCTCGATTCAGACAGCGTTACGCATCTGTTCCCGATCAGATAAGGGCGCAGATTGTTTAGGTTCACGGCTTTCGTTATTTCCACGGTGTGGCTTGTGAGGATCTCTGCCGCAGTGCGGTCGTCCAGCGAGAGCTCGGAATCGAGCTGGGTACGAGCCGGCGACGGATACAACTGGAAATGAAAAACAATCACTACTAGTCTATACGTACAAAGAAGTCTTTTACTGTGGTAAAATCAAACCTGTCCTGCCATGGCCGCTATATCCGCGGTCATCGAGTGTTTTTATTGGCTAAAACGCCCACTCCCAAGCGCCATGGTGCGCATGCTCGGCGTGCATTCGGCGTCATTGCCAGTATCGCGCATGCGCAATATCCGTTACTAAGCAACCTACAATGGGCGGTCCCCGACCCAAACACAAGGCGGCGATCATGGCGGCAACTGCCAGTACCAAAACGGTGACCTTCAGGCTGCCAGACGGAGCAACAGAGAAGGGCAGGGAAGGTGGAGACATCACGCTACCCAAAACACCTCATCCTAAAATTTTGCAGTCTCGACCAGAATTATCGCAGACAGTTCCTTCTCCTGTCCGCCAATACGCTACGCGAGAGAGCGAGACAAGGCCTCAGTCACGACCCAGCTCCGAACAATCCTCTTTCCCCCTCAACGATAGGCATAAGAAAACTACTCCACAGACTACGACTACGAGGAGACGACAGTTTCTAGCAGCTAGTACTGATGACGGTCGCCCTAGACTCAGAGAGCCGCCCGAGTTGAGTGCAGCAGTGAACGCCGCTCGTGAGCGGACGAATTCCGCGAGTCGCGAGAACACCCGTGTCCTCAAGTACGGCGTGGCGAGGCTGAGGGAGAGCCTACTGGGAGTGGAAGAGGAGGTAAAGAGAATGACGAGAGGGCGGAGGACGCTGGAGCTGGCCGTGCAGGACGTCCGGAGGTCCATCTCCGTCAACCAGCAGTCGCTCAGCGTCCAGCAGAAGAAAGCCAGGGCACAAACGGTATGAACCACCAATGCTGAATGCCATATGTAGCTAAACAAGACGGTAATGGTAGCTACTGCAGCTAGATCAAGTGTGTAACACAATTATCCACTCACTCTATTCTCACTTTCTGTCAAAGTCTTAGTTCAAAACAATGAAAGGTGTTGCTTGGGATTAGATCAAGGGCTTGAAATTCTTGTCTTTCCTTTGAAGTCGAAAAATATTCATTTGATAGCTTGCCAATGGAGTATCAATTACTCCCCTATAATTGCAGGATTCTACCCTTCGTCTGTTGAGAGAGGAGTCCCACGTGCTCTCACGGTCCAAGTGTCGGGTGGAGCAGTGCCTGAGATCAGTGAAGACACATCTCCAGAGTCTGGACAGCATTCGCAGAGCTCTCCAGACCAAGATCAGCACACTCTCTCAGTCACTGGAGCTCGATGCCCAGAGCTTCAAGGTGAGAAGTTTTGTATATATGTGGATTGTGATATGCTGCGTGTGTCAACAACGAGGCTGCGAGATAGAAAGGCAGGGCAAAGCAAGCAAGTCAGCTACAACAGTATGGGTAGCTTTTGTTGTATGACGCAAAAATAGCGAGCGTTTAGTTTGCTATGGTGTTCAAAAACTTCAGACGACAATAGGTAGACCAAACAATAATTTGCCGTTCAGTTGGAAACAAGGCTACCTTTTAACGTATATATTTTTCGATTAGATTGTATACCTTCAGAGAATAATTTTCCTCTGCTTCTGATGCTTGGTGGTGTGTTTAAATCTGTATGGTAAAAACAAGCTGAAAATCATTATGGTGTGCAGGTTTACTATGGAGGGAATGAGTTTAAAAGTGCCTGCAAGGCTCCTGTGGATGGTTCAAGACACATAGAGCAAGCAATAGGTATGGTTACATTATGGGAGCAGGAAACTCTGAAAAAGAATAAAGGACACCTCTCCATGAAGAACATTTTGCTCTGGAAATTTAACTTATTACCTCTGAATAAGGGACGCACAAGTTTCACTGTATAATATACTGCTGTTTAATTCCCCTACTCTGCTGTCTTCTTGCCCCCAGCTCCAGTGTGCAGACAGGCTGCAGAGCTTGTGGCAAGGTCACGGGAGGTCAGGGGAGGAATCCAGGAGCTCATTGTGTCGATAGAGACACAGAAAACGCAGGCACACGGCCGCGTCACCTCATCAGTGGCTCAGAGTGTCCAGGAGGCCAACTCCAAGAAGGTGAAGCGATATAAACCGGCAGTAACAGTGGCCCAGGCCTTCCCTGCTATGAGCATACGTTACACAGCAAATGTGGACAATAATGGCTAGATTTAGACCTAAACAGGCCCAGTGCAAAGTAACAAATTCTTAATTTAGGTTCTATTATAATTATGCAACAATTATGCCACGTAACATGTTCATTGCAGACAAGTTTTGGGAATGTGAATTATAACAGAGCATGGGATGTGTTAGGGTGCATGAAGTGGACTGAGTGTATGTCCTACTGGTGTACTCTGCAGAGGGAGATGTTGCTGGAGAGAGGGCAGATGAGATTGTCGCAGAACTCGGCCCAGCACCAGCAGCACACTGAGGAGATACTGCTGGGGCAGAATACTGGGACCCATCTCTGACAGACACAGGTACACATCTGTCTGTTGGAACATCAAGTGGAAATGATGTGGTCTTTATAATGAGCTCATACCTAAGCTGCACCCTCATTTTCCAACACCGGGAACTTGAATGTAGCTATAATATAGCCAATACACATTCACACTACGTCTTAAACCTACAGACTGTACCGCATGGCTATAATATTATTATAGTGAGACTGTTGTGGTGTGTATACAACTGCCGCAGGTCAGTGTCAGAGAAGGGGGACAGACCTCTGTCACGGAGAAGACCAGACTCCAGTCAGGAAGAGAGGAAACATGTCAAGAACACCACCAACAAACTTGCCAAGTCAGTCTGCAGAAAAACGTTTACGCCTTAAGTAATTTACTTTAATTTCACTATGCCTACAGTTATGTATATACTTAGCTTTCCAGAGAAATAAGTCTCAAGTGAGACATAATATAATAACAATCAATTCACAAAACTCTTTCTTTGTTACTATAATATTACAGTGGAGATCTTGTAGCTACCATGCTGCATGTTCTTCCTTGGCTCAGGAGGTTGTCAGCCAGTGCAGTGCAGGTGACAGAGATGGAGGTGGCAGACCATCACCTCTCGCGACAACTGAGACACCACTCCATGTCAGCCAGCCTCGACACACACACTCTCAGAATTAGGAAAATGTCTTTAGATAACAGGTATATAATACTCCATTTTCTGCAGTGAAACTTTATTACAAACGTATTTTCATCACCTTTAGATGGGTCCAGTGAAAGTTTACTTGCATATCAAACTCTAAACTTTTCTCTTTTTTTTCCTCCCAATTATTTATTGCTACATGCACCACCATGAGATTTTACATTGATGAGAAAATTGTAGCGCACGAGGGTAACTGTTTACGCATGCGCACAATTTCACTCAGCTGAGTTTGCGGTCATGCTACGGGTACTCCTCCTCCGTCCTCTTCGTCCTCGTCTGATGGCTGCTGGAGGCGGCATGCCGGGCCGAGAGCCACAGACCCGACACCTCGGCTCCTCTCCCTCTACCAGGGCACCCATCAAGAACGTGGCCGTAATCGGCAGCGGACTCATGGGCTCGGGAATCGCTCAGGTCACTAGCTAGTATCAAGCAATGTCTTCTTGTTCTAGTATCAAGCTACCAATAGTCAGCTTAGCTACTTATCAGCTAGCTAACCAGCATACTTATATACCTACCATCCTGGGTGTTGCTGGGATGTAAGCACAATTGCTGCCCATTCTCAACGAATCGCCAATCTTTGTGTGTCTGACCCATACATTCGAAGGTATACCTGGAGGTTGGTAGGTGTGAGCTAGAGGGTAGGTGAAATAGCTTTCTGAACTAGCAAACAACGCTAGAGCTGAAATGACTTGATTTGTCAGTTGAGAGTAGGTGAATGACTCGGAATCGCGTGCAGGTTGCAGCTCAGACAGGCCACAGTGTGTGGCTGGTGGACGTGAGTCAGGACCTACTGGACAAGGCCAGGGCAGCCATCTCTACCTCCGTCCAGAGAGTAGCCAAGAGGACATTTTCTCAGGATCCCAAGGTGGCTCAACATCTGCGTACTGCCTGTTGAAGTATTTGTTGCTATCACTACAAAGACACTGAATGGTTGACATCTTTTGTGCTACTTGTGTGTAATGCTGTAGTGGGGGAACTTACAATTTCACTCTCTACAAAGTATAGTGGGGAAAAGTATGTAAAAAGCCCACAATTACCAGTAATAATGTATTATGTAATGTGACTGAAGCAAGCCAACCTAAAAGTCGTAATTTCACCATTTTTCTCTTGCTGTATGTATGTATAGGGAGGAGATGAGTTTTTGGCTGGGACTCTAGGTCGTATCCAGTACACTCTGTCCGGGGAAGAGGCAGCTGCTGCCAGTGACCTTGTGGTGGAGGCCATCGTCGAGAACATGGGCTTGAAACACACACTCTTCAAGACTTTGGACAAAGCTGCTCCCAGGTACTATAGCCCGCAGCTCCTCCCTTTTCTTCTCTCTCAATTTAGATACAAATTCTCTTCTAGTTTCCTCTATTTATTAGCCCCTCCTCCTATTTCGCTATCTGTCTTTCTCCCTCTCCTTCCTACTGTTTTGACACTAACTATAATACTCGCTACAAATAGTTGGTGGCGTATCTATTCATGATCTTTTATACCGTCGGTGACATTAAAAATATGCTTTTCTTAGCACAACGCTGTTTGCCAGTAACACGTCGTCTCTGCCTATTACTGAGATAGCAGCAGTGACTGGCAGGAGGGACAGGTTTGGAGGTCTACATTTCTTCAACCCTGTCCCAGTCATGAAACTAGTGGAGGTATGTATATACACACACACTGACGTGTGGGGTGCCCCTGAGTTGATAGAGCATTAATGGAGAGACCAGCTTTACTGCTAGATACAGTGGAACCTCCGATAAGGGACCGTCCGAGATAGAGACGACCTCTCTACAAGGGACACTTGTTTCAATCCCATGCTAATACTTTAGTGTATTAGTTTGACCTCCGAGATAGGGACGACCTCTCTACAAGGGACACTTGTTTCAATCCCATGCTAATACTTTAGTGTATTATTTGACCTCCGAGATAGGGACGACCTCTAGGATCAGGGACAAAGTTGTTGGCCCCATAGTTTCCCTTGTTCGGAGGTTCCACTGTATTATGATCTATTTTGGGTGCCCCTGACTTGATAGTGTGTTAATTGCGTAATCAGGTGGTAAGAACAGAGGAGTTGAGTGAAGAGAGTTTCAAGAGTCTCATGGACTTCTCAAAGGCCATGAAAAAAGTACCCATCGTCTGCAAGGTGGGTGTGGCCTGTTGCCATGGAGCTCTGATTGTGTTTGTTTTCAGGACACGCCGGGCTTTGTGGTAAACCGACTCTTAGTTCCTTATATGGCAGAAGCAGTTCGTCTATATGAGAGAGGTATTAAAACCAGCGCAGCTCTTTTATACAGTAGCCCATTGTACAGCAGACACATAAAGTCAATATCCTAAGCTCTTGCATATGTAAAAATGCCGCTTTGGGGCATTGTGTACATCAGCTTGCACAAGTAAGTGTACGTTGTGAATCCAGTAGCCTAGAATCCAGGTCTACTTCAATAATTGTTGAGGTTTGAATTGAATTCCTGTATGTAGGTGTGGCTACACCCGAAGATATAGACACAGGCATGAAGTTGGGGGCCGGGTACCCCATGGGACCTTTTGAGCTCTCTGACTACGTTGGACTGGACACTACCAAGTTTATCCTGGACGGTGGGTCACACCTCCTCAACATCACTGGTTTCAAATACACGTTCACTACAATGAGTTGACGTGAATTGACCATGATAATATGTATTGATGCTCACTGGAGTGGCTGCACATACAGTATATAGAGGATTCAGTCTTTCCTATGACAGGGGGCCAGTTCAGTTCAATACCCACAAATAGTGGATTATTGATCTGATGGCTTTGGATGAAGTATCAGAGAGTAGAATCACTGATGTCGAATGTGAAAAGAATGCTCTAAGTGCACACACACAATATGCTATAACACACAGGCCTCGTCTTCTCTCCCCGCCCCTCCCCTCTTCTTATTCTCACAGGTTGGTCACAGAAGTATCCCGATGAACCGCTGTTCAAACCAATAGAGACAATCAATAAACTGGTCGGAGAGGGAAAACTCGGCCGAAAAACTGGCGAAGGATTCTACAAGTACTCAAAGTAGACACCAAATCTATGAATTACGTTAAAGGAATACACTATTATATAAGAATATAAATTTTTTCTGAAAACATATACTGAAGTGTATTGTTTGGGCTAAGTGATGATGTTGCTTCAGTTTCTACACCACTACATAATTATACATACATTCTGACTTGCAAATTATTGTCAATGAGGTTTACATGTACAATGCACTGTAGGAAATTTCGAAATCGGGTAAGTGATAGTGTTGCTTCAGTTTTCTACTTTATTCTTTATTCTTTAATCAATCTGACTTGGAAAAAATCGGTGCGTGTGTCGTGAGAATTCATTCGATATCTGAAGGCAGAGGTGTGCAGTTAGTCGCCACGATCCTCCATGAAGTGGGGGGAGGTGAGGTCGTAGAGGTGCTGATGAATCTCAAGAAATTTCGGACGCGAGTTTGGCTCTCGCGCCCAGCACGAGGACATTATCAGGAACACGTCCTCGGGGCATTTGTCTGGCTGCGGGGGGAACGAGAAATGCCGGGAGACTTTTGTGATGACTTGTCGGTTGGTGAGATTGCGAAATGGATGCTCTCCGTACGTGAATAGCTCCCACAATAGGACGCCGAAGGCCCAAATGTCGCTGGCAGTCGAGAATTCGTCGTCTGTGATTGCTTCGGGAGGCATCCATCTAATTGGGAGGGTCCTCCCGTGAAGGAGATAGTAAGCTTCGGGGTAGATTTTTGAACCGATTCCAAAACTTGCCACTTTGATGACTCTGTTTTGCCCACGGATGCAGTTGCGCAGTGCCACGTCCTTAGTGAACGATGTGTTGAGAAGACAGTAAGCCAGTCCCATGCACACCTCGTCGGCCATTTTGAGGAGCTCTCGGAACTCTTGGACGATACTCTCGCCGTCCTCCACGTCTTTCATGGCGATACCCTTATCCCTGATGTAACCGAGGAGGTCTATGTGGGAGGTTCCTCCGTCTAGAATGATGCACCCGGGCGTCGTGTTCGTACACACCCCGAGAATTCCCACCACGTTCAGATGGTTGAGATGTGCCAACATCGTGATCTCTTGCTCGAATTTGTTCCTCTTTGTATCGTCTGTGCCTTCCTTGAGCATTTTGACGGTCACGATTCTTGAAGCCTCCCGTGGAACTATTTCGTAGGCCTCTCCTCTATATACGGGGCCGTACTCCCCCTCTGCCAGCATCGTGAGCAGGACCAGGTTCTTGTGGGAAAACTGACGAGAGCAACGTACGTGCCGCCGCTCTGTTCTACGAAAATCGTCGTCCTGTAGTTTCGGGC